GAAGTAGCAGCTCCCAGGAGGAGGAGGAAGACAAAGTGAGGCGGGGCTAGAGAGAAGGCGGGGCCAGGGAGGGGCGGGGCCAGCAAAGGGTGAGAGGGAAAGGGGAGGGGCCAGCAAAGGAGCTGAGGGAGAGGGGCGGGGCCAGCAAAGGAGCTGAGGGAGAGGGGCCACCAAAAGGGCATGAGGGAGAGGGGTGGGGCCACCAAAGGAGCATGAAGGAGAGGGACGGGGCCACCAAAGGAGCATGAAGGAGAGGGGCGGGGCCACCAAAGGAACTGAGGGGGAGGGGCCACCAAAAGGGCATGAGGGAGAGGGGCGGGGCCAGCAAGGGGCATGAGGGAGAGGGGCGGGGCCACCAAAGGAGCTGAGGGAGAGAGGCCACCAAAAGGGCATGAGGGAGAGGGGTGGGGCCAGCAAAGGAGTATAAAGGAGACGGGCGGGGCCACCAAAGGAGCACGAAGGAGAGGGGCGGGGCCACCAAAGGAGCATGAAGGAGAGGGGCGGAGCCACCAAAGGAGCATGAAGGAGAGGGGCGGGGCCACCAAAGGAGCTGCGGGGGGGCGGGGCCACCAAAGGAGCTGAGGGAAGGGGAGGAGCCAAGAGGGCTGAAGTGGGGGTGCTGAGGGGTCTGGGCAAAGATGATGCCTTGGGTGGGATGCTTTGGGTAAAAGACCCCCCCCACTTGAAATGAAGGAGGGGCCGCGGTCTGCTGTCCGTTCCCGGGGCCTCCCTCCCGTTCTCTGCTTCACAATCTCAGGCTCCCGCTTCCCAGTCCGCCCGCCCCTCTCTTCCCCGGTGCACCCACCGTGTCCAGCCCCTCTCCCGGATAAGCGGTGCTCCACGCTGGGGTGGAGGGGTCAGAAAAGGGCAAAGGGCTACTCGGGTGCAGCCTTCTTGCCATCTCTGTGGCGACCACGCCCTCCCCAACTCCCAGGGGCTGGACCCCGTCAGCTCTTGCTTCTAGCTCGGTACATCTGAAGGGGGCATGGGCAGGGCCGGGGGTCGTGGATGCCTCGGAGACCGGGACGAGGCCTTCTTCAGTGCTGGAGTCGTGCTGATGGAATAAATGACGGAAAGCCCCACAGCAGCATCGGGTATTTCACAAGGAACTTTATTCTGGCGCATGTTTCAAAACGTCTGCAGGAATGATTCAAAGGATGCCCCGTCCCCAAAGCATCGTACGTTGGGTTAAAGGGGAAACGAGGTCCACGAGGAAACGACCTGTGTCCACAGACCCTTGATTTACACAAGGCCTGGAAGTGAGGGTTAACTTTCATCCAGGCCTCTCACCTCAAATCATTACGGTCAGTTCTGGTCAGTACTGGTCAGTACTACAAGGGATAAATCAACAGTGTCTAAGAGAGCCGTACCGAAGATGACGTCAGAAAACGCAGCCTGCGAAACCTCCTGGTGTCTCGCCTCCCCCCGGCCTTCCCTGCCGTCTGCTGTCTGTCCACAACGATAGCCCATCCCTTGACCTGTTGGCGAAGCCATTCAACTCAACACCGTTGTCCTCCCTTATCAGATCACCGACTGTGCCGTGCCAAACCTCAGCCTTGGACCACTCCCACTATGCCTCACCTCCGCTCCTGCATGGATGTGTGCTGCTGATCCAAGGTGGAGAAGATCACACAACCATGCTGACTGGGTCCTCAACTGGGCCCTCACTGCTGCTCGGCAATCCTATTCTGCCTCCTTCATCGAGTCACTCTCCCACTCTGCCAGTAAGCTTCTCATCCCTCCTCAAACCTCCCAAGGCTCCACCTCCTTGCCACTCATCTGAGACCCTCACCTCATATTTTACTGGAAAAAGTGGAGCTTTTTCATTTGCCATGAGCTCCCTCTCTCCTCGCCATGGAGGTGCCCTTTGTCACTCTCTCCTCCTTCACCCCGCTCTCAAATGATAAGGTGGCCTAACTCCTCATCAAGGCTAACCCCTCTGCAGGTTGAAGTGACCCCATTCTATCCCATCTCCTCTAACAGATTGCCCCCTCTGTTATCCCCACTCTAACTTTAGTCCTGAAAGTTACAGGAATAGTGAATGGGGCCACAGAGAAGTTCATTGAGAAACCCCTTCCAGAAACAGTGACAGATTCAATGTGAGAACTGGAGAGCTGGGGGCAAGGGGTACCCGGCATGAAGTGAAACATGGCTGAGGTCTGCCTGAATGAGTGAGTAGGCCAGGTGAGGCAGCCTGAGGCTTAGGGAATGTGTGACTGTGTGTCCCTGCTATAGTCACTACTGCCTCCTACAAGCAGGAGACTGGGAGCCATGAGTGTGGAGTCTGGGGTGGGGGGGAAGAGGAAACAGACTTCTCTTGGTTTTCTGTGAGGATTTCTTTATGTTACCTTCATATTGTTTTTCTTTTACTTAATTTAGCACATTTCTTATTGTTTTGAGGTGCTAAGGGGCAACTGGCTTACACATGACCTCTCAACCATCTTATGGTATGATTATATAAAATTTGAAAGCCTTTGCACAAACAAAATCAATGCAGCTGGAATGAGAAGAAAAGATATGGATGGGGGGCAACCATCTTTGATAAATGTCTAACAATCAAAACTTATAGGGAATTAATTAACCAATTTACATGATTAAAAGTTGTTCCCTGAAAGACAAGTGCTTAAAGAATATGAATAGTTGGGGCAGCTAGGTGGTGCAGTAGGTACAGCACTGGCCCTGGAGTCAGGAGGCCCTGAGTTCAAATCTGGTCTCAGATCAGACACTTGATACTTACTAGCTGTATGACCCTAGGCAAGTCACTTAAGCCCAATTGCCTCACCAAAACAAAAAGAAAAAAAAAAAGGAATATGAACAGTTTTCAAAAGAAAAAGTGTACAAAATATTAAACATTTAAATAAATGTTCAAACTTACAAATAATAATAATAATAATAAAAATGCAAATTAAAACAAGAGATTACCCCATGCCCATCGAAAGGACATGGAGGGTGAAAAATGGGAAAATTCCATCTTAGAGGGGCTGTGGGGAAGATAACCATGCTTTGTCACTGCTGTTAGGGTCATGAATTGATCCAACCTTCTGGAAAATATTTGAGAAGCACCCATGAAAATTTGACTCAATACGCGTTTATTAAAAATCTACTATATATGCAAGACATTTTATAAGACTAAGGGCTCAAAGACAAAAACAAGGCAGCCCTTGTCCTCGGAGAGCTCCCATTCTACTAGAGAAATATAATACACACAAGTAAGTGTGGCACAAGAAAAACTGAGGAGGGAGGGAGTCTCCTGCTAGGTGACACAGACCTTAAGCCTTAAAGGAAGATAAGTATTCTGAGAGGCAGGAGGAGGGATGGAATTCCAGGGACTGGGGACAGTTTGGGTGAATGTCCAGAAGTATGATGTGGAATATTAAATTTAGACAATGGTGAACAATCCAATTTAGTGAAAACATAAGAGTTTGTGAAAAAGAGTTCTATGAAACAAGGCTGGAAAGGTGAATGCCTGGTAGACAGCATAAGGCCAGCACGCCCTATCTAAGATCTGGCTTTGAGGGGGCAGCTAGGTGGCGCAGTGGCTAGAGCACCGGCCCTGAAGTCAGGAAGACCTGAGTTCAAATCCGGCCTCACACCACACACTTGACACTTACTAGCTGTGTGACCCTGAGCAAGTCACTTAACCCCAGTTGCCTTGCAAAAAAAAAAAAAAAAAAACATCTGGCTTGGATCACGGGGCAGTTCAAGCCAAATGAGGGCGTTGGGGCAGGGGAGTGAGCAAGTCACACCTGTGCTTTAGGAAGATTTTGATGGCTGGATGAACGATGAACTGGAGAGGGGGCACAGCCTGCCAGAAAGGACACCGCAGTAAGCCAGGTGAGACATGAAGGGCTGGAGTCCCAGTGGTAAGGAAGAGGAGGCAATGAGGGCAAGCAGTTTGTCTTGGAAGTCTGGCAGTGCAAGGGAGGTGATGTGCAGGATGCTGGCTTCAGGAGTAAAGAGGGAAAGGCAACAGATAATCTGCGGGATGAGCTCCTTCCTGGAGGACAGGGGAGGGGATGGTACTGAGGACACATGTAACACAGGGATGGCTTTTGGCAAGAAGGACCACCACTTCCTCAGAGGCATGAGGAAGAGTGGAGGGGTGGGTCTGAGGTCCAGAGTAGGAAAAAGAGGGAGTTCACAGCAGCCGGCTTCTGTTACCTCCACCCAGCAGGAGATGAGGACATCTGCAGAGACAAGAGCAGGAGGCAGCTTGGGGGCTCGAGGCTTGCTGAGGGGAGTTTGGGAGAGAGTCAATTAAGGAAGACTGCATGGTCTGCTGTGCAGCAGTGAGGACCCAACTGAGACTGGAGGGCATAGCTTTGTGCTGGATCCAGGCAACACACTGGTGGGTCTCCCTCCTGTGATGTGAGGCAGGTCAGAATGGTGGATGCTGGGGGCGTCCCAGGGCTGAGACCCGGCACACCCCTAATGGCAGCAGGAAAAACGGGCAAGAAAAATGGGGGCAGAGAATAGCATCTATTGTTGGTCAGCTAGAGGGTCAAGAGTGAAGACAGCAAGAGGAGTCTAGAGCAGGGCTGGTGGACGTCGAGAACAAGAAACACGAGGTTGCAATGAGGACAAAGACCAGGTTTAGAAGGAGCGAGGCAGAGGGGGGAGAGGGAAGAAGAGAGAAAATTTCAGAGCCGAGAATTATGCAGATGGTCTAGTTCCAGAGGGTGACGCTTGTCCCCAGGATGGCTGAGGGAAGTGTGGGCTGAGGGCAAGCAATAGCTGTGTTCAGACCATTTAATGCGGAGATGCCCCTATGTGGGGTATAGCCCAAGAAATGAACCAGAACAAGAAAAGACCCCTTTGACCCCATGAAAAACCCTGGAACAGCTGAACCAGAAGGAAGATGGGGTGCAGCAGTCTGGTAGTCCAGGTAGCTTGAGGGATTTTCGGGAAAGGCCTCTCTTGCCTTGGGAGAAAGGAAGCAGCACAGAATGGAGGTGTCTCAGCAAGCTAGTGGAAAGCCCCACCTCAGCGAACCAGGAGGAGATCCTGAAACCCACGTGGTGGAGCAGGCAAACACCAACACCTGGACCCCTGAGTGCTTTAGTGAGGGCGGGGAACCGGTGGAAACCAGCATGGAAAATCACCAGGTGCCTCGCCATTCTACAGCAACCGGCTCTCCCAGTGCCTCAGTAAAACTAAAGGAAGCAGCGCTCCAAGGGGCCCCAGGCAGATAAACACCCTGCAACATCCATCTGAAAGGAGCTAAAGAAAGCGAAAGGAAGGAAAGGGCCCCGGAAGCAGGAAATCTCCAGGAGCCACATTACCCAATCCTACCCCTAGAGTTCCAGTGTTGCTGATTCCAGCCCAACAGCAGGAAAGCGACCAGAACCCTACAGCCTCCAGCTGCCAACACTGGAGGCCCCAGCACACAAAGCCAGTGACCAGGCCCTGGGCTCTCAACACAAGAAGCTTGGGTCAGTGCCCTCTGCTCCTCAGCAGGAGAGCTCAATCTCTTTAAAGGCCAGGAAATAAGCAAACACCACGAGCAAAAAGAAACTGCGATCGATTCATATTATGGGAACAGTGAAGATCAAGGCAGAAATTCTGAAGAGGACAACATCGTCAACAAACCCACATCTGGAGCCTCAAAAGGGAATATGAACTGGTCTGAAGCCCAAAAAGCCTTCTTGGAAGAGCTCAGGAAGGATTTTAAAAGTCAAATGAGAGAGGCTGAAGAAAAAATGGGAAAAGAAATGAGAGGTATGCAAGAGAGAGTCAATAGCTTGGAAAAGGAAGGACAAAAATTAACCATAGAAAACAAGTCCTTAAAAAATACAATTGGCCAACTGGAAAAAAGCACACTGAAGAAAACAAGTCCCTAAAAATACAATTGGTCAAATGGGGAAGGAGGTACAAGATCTAATAGAAGAAAACAATTTGTTAAAAATTAGAATTGGACAAATGGAAGCTAATGACTCTATGAGAGAGCAAGAATCAGTCAAACAAAAACAAAAGAATGAAAAAATAGATGAAAATAAATACCTCATTGGTAAAACAACTGACCTGGAAAATTGATCCAGGAGAGGCAATTTAAAAATTATTGGTCTACCTGAAAATCACAATGAAAAAAAGAGCCTGGACAATATCTTTTAGGAAATCACAAAGTAAAACTGCCCTGAGGTCTTAGAACTAGAGGGTAAAATAGCCATAGAAAGAATCCACTGATCACCTCCTGAAAGATCCCAAATTGAAAACGTCAAGGAATATAGTAGCCAATTCCAAAGTTACCAGGTCAAAGAAAAAATACTGCAAGCAGCCAGAAAGAAACAGTTTAAACATCATGGAACCACAGTCAGGATTACACAGGACCTTGCAGCTTCTACATTAAAAGATCGTAGGGCGTGGCAGTCTTGAGGAGGGAGGTGGGTGACGGAGGGGAAGAAAAATTTAAAACTCAAAAGCTTACGGAAGTGATTGTTGATAAATCAAAATAAATTAATTTTTTAAAAAAGGATTAAAAAAAAGAAAAGACCCCTTTGCAAATAAATGTTCATAGCAGCATTATTTGTGAGAAGAAAACACATGCCCCACAATTGAGGGATGATGGAACAAAGTATGCTCTGTGGAATGTCATGAATCGCTATACTTTCAAGAATAACAAAAAGGAAGAACTCAGAGGCACATGGGGCTGCTCAAGGTGAAGGAAGGAAGGCCGGGTGGAGAAAGCTGAGAAAACCACAACACACAATGACTACAATAAGGCAAAGTCAGCACTGACAGGTAAAAAAATTCAAGTGATAGTTGACACACACACCTTTCCTTTCTGTTGAATTATAAAACCAGAGCATCCCATGGATTATCAGGGCAGTCCCAAGTGGCCCAGTGGCTTTCTGGGAATGCACTGTGCAACAGCTTTCCTTGTCTGCTGAATGGGATCTAGCCATCAAAACATTTTAAAAGGATAAGTTGGAGAGGAGAGAGGATGAAGGTGATTACAATAGGCCAGAACAGAGGTAACAAAGGTCTGAACAAGGGGGTGGGTGTCCAAGGTAACTCAGAGGTGAAATCCACAGGATGTGGCTGGATGCCAAGGTGAGAGGAAAGACTGAGACCACCCAGGGTGACCAGGAGTATGGTGCATCTCTCAACAGAAATCAGGAGGTTAAGGAAGGAAAGCATGGGCTTGAGAAGGAAAATAAGTTCTCTTTTGAATCTATTGAATTTTAAAATAAACACTTCAATGTCGGAGAACACACTTAAGCTGAGGATGTGGGATTCCTCCCACGTTCCCAAAGCCTCTACCCCCAGCACTCAGCCTCCAGGGGCCTGTTTGCCACAGCCTCCAAAGCCCCAGATGGGGCCCACCTTTAATGTGCTCGACAGAAGGAACCACGAAGGGTTAATGACTCTTAACTCACAGTCTCAGGCCTAACATCTCATTTTCAGCTGGGGGGTTATGTGTGCAGTGTTGTAATGTACTTCTTCCATTTCAACGATTTTTCCATATTGATCATAAAATTCCTCCTGGAAAACTGGAGGGGGGATGAAATACTGATTCATCTTCTTCTTTTCTAATGCATTTGCGTTGACGTCTTTCACTTTCCTGGTGTGATGACAAAAAAAAAATCAAAACTGTATGATCTATTTATAGGATGAGGGAGAAATTTATCTTAATTTGCCAGTTAGCAATCAAGTAAAAGGCCTTCTCCTTGGAGAGGGGCCAGCACATGGAGCCGAGGTGTGATGGTGAGCACAGAGTAGGCCTCACTCATCACAGACCGGCCAGACTTCACTGCATTAGGCCGAATTCCCATCTCACTCTCCTCCTCTAACAGATGAAGACGTGCTCGCTCCACCCTCTTCCCCGCCACCCCCTACAATGAGGCACCTCCAAGTCAGGCATGGTCATGTTCTCAGAGCCAAAAGCAATGCCCTATACTTACTAAATAGCTACTTAATCAACCTCCGGTCCAAAAGCAAGTTCATCTTTCTTCTTCCCCAAACCCACTGAGACTTTCTCCTCTTGGAGGCATGGCCACTTACCTGCTATCACCCAGGGGTGACAGCCCCTCGGTCATTCTGTACAGCCAACCAAGAACCAGCTGCCCCCGTCCATTTCACCTCCACCTTCCTCTGCCCAGCCACCTGGCATCCCTGCAGGGCTTTCTGCCCACCCTCCTCCCACTAACCCATCCTTCAGACGGCCAGATGGGCATCTCGGCTCAAGTCACTGCATCTGAGAATGAGGTTGGGCGTTCTACAGCCCTCCCAGCTGGTCCCTCCCAGCTTTGGGTCAAGAGTCCTGTGGTTCTGATCCTGGGGCTGATGGTTACCTCCCCCAGCCCCTCTGCACACTCTCGTACTCCCACCAGACTGTCTGTTCCACGAACACAAAGACCACGGCTTAGGTCACTCCACCAGCTCTTGCACCTAGCTCGGTGGCCCACACCCAGAAGGCACTGAAGACGTGTCTCTTGAATGAATGACACACATACAATGTGCTCTTGGGGTCTGGGTACTCGTTATTTCTACTTTAACCAGATCTTTCTGACCTCGACCCAATGAAGGGATTCTAACGCTGAGAACCTTAAGTCCTCTGGCGGCTCTAGGGAGACCACTGCCTGAGGGTGAGCCCTTGGTGCCTCTTCAATCAAGCTAAAGGATCATGCAGTCACAGGATCCTAGAGCCTGAAGAGAGGTCGGAGATCTAGTCTGACCCCCTGGGACCCCGCCCTCACTACCTGATGAAATCGGCCTGCAGATCCTTCTGGCTCTGGTCAAATATCTTCCACTCCTTCCAGTGCACCTTACGCAGGTACCTGGTGTCCTTGCTCAGTTTCTTCATGTTAGCCCTGACCTGCCGGATCACATCTCGATAGGCTGCCGTGCCCTCTGTGGTTTTGATCGTAAAGGAAAACACAGAACTGCCTGAGCTGCTCTGACCCTTTGCCACAAGAGGACAGAGGCCTAGAATGGACCTGAAGGGGAGCGCCAGGGTGACAGGAGGCCGCTGGCCAGGGAAGAGGCCCAGGAATCCATCCTGTCATTGACCTAGGTCCATTTCCCTCTTCTTTACTCCTGAGCTAATTCCCTTTCTGTTTAGAGATAACAATAGCTAATAAACATTTCTACGAGGCCTACTACATGCCAGGCATGGCACCAAGAGCTTCATAAATGTGATCTCGTTTGGACCCACTGAGTCACGGGCCGCTTGGAAGGAAAGAGTCCTTTAGATTCCGAGGTGCTGGATGATGGAGCTGTGGTTTCACTGCCAACACTCTTCACAATGCCGCCTCCTCGTCAGGTTCTCCTTCAGTTTTCTGGAGGATGGCAAAGGGCCACCATAGCTAAACTCTGGGTCTCATTCCCTGCCTCTGGCGCCTAGCCCAGGGTGCTGCACATAGTAGGTGTTCAATAAATGCTTTGGATTGTCCACAAAGCCAGTCACAATGGCAGCTCTAGGCGGAGGGTGCGAATCCTCCCCACCTCTGCACAGCTGCCAGGCTCTCCCTACCTACATCTCGCCTTCAGAGGGCTCAGGATTCCAGCGTCCCTGGCAGGCACAGATCCAGAGTGGCAAGTATCTTAACAAGTGCTAAGGATATGGCACGGTCTTGGTCATATCACGCCGGACCATCAGGATGTCCTGGCCAGCCTGTCGATAAGCATCATGCTGCTGAAGGTAGTGAACAATCAGTGGGCTGTTGCCAGTTATGCTGAACAGGTTTCTCGAAAACTCGGGTCCCCTGCAGGCCGGGTGAGACTGAGGGGAGCAGAGGCGGACACTGTGATTGCAGCCAGTGAGGGCCGTGGGGGGGCCCAGACCACCTCCACCACCAAGCCAGTCATCTTCCACCGAGGAGCCAGAACTACCAGCTGCCTGCGAAGGCCTCAGGAACAGGGCTGGAGGCCGGAAGGTGGTGCCTCTTAACCCCTGCTCCAGGAATGGAAGCCCTCTGCCCTCGGAAGCCTGAGAGTGTGCCAGGCCAAGGGGAGCAGGGACCAGTCACGCCTTAGCTAGCTCTCCCTTGCCCCCAGGGCCATGAACACTGGGGCAGCCAAGCTTTGCCGCAGCCCCAGAAATGCCTGTGGGCATTGGTGACTGAGGCCCCGGCGCCAGCCCCTGTTCTCCCCTGGGCACCCCAGACCCTTGGCCAGAGTCATGGAGTGAGTGGGCAGCAGAGCTGGGGCTGGAGCCCAGGTCTCCAATGCCAGGGCACTGTGTGGGGCAGTCTTTGGTGGCTCGAAGCTCTACTGGTCCAATCCCCTCGATGTCCCCGAATGAGCAAACCAGGGGCTCGCCCCTGGTTTCCCGGCCCGCACAGCTCTGGCCCCATGTGCCTCGCTCACAGCTCCACCCGTGCCAAGAGCTGAGGAGGTGTCGGGGCAGACGCCTCGCCATGACACGGACCCCCCAAGGCCTGATCCCCTCCAGCCTCCAATGCCCCAGCTGAACGAAGCTCACGGCTGGGTGCACAGATGCAGGGCTTTGTAGAGCCCCCAACCTGCCACCTCCTTGCTCTCTTCCATCTAAGCCCCCCAAACTGTGCCAGGAGGGGGCAGCTGTAGGCTGTTTGACTGCTGGGCAAACCTGGCCCCAAATCAACAAGCAGGTCTTAACCGCAGGAGCTGCCCCAGAGGACTGTGGGCTGCCTGGGATGCAGGGGCTCCTCCTCCCTAGAGGGCTTCCTGCCCCAGCCAGTGAGAGGACTGAGTTCTGCCCAGGTCCGAGTGGCCTCGCTGGCCTGGCAGGGCCCTTCTCCTCCAGACATCCCCTGGCTCTTCTTCCAGGGGTACTGAAAACTGCGACAGGGATAGAGACTCTCCCCCAACTTGTCTGGAGGGATGTGTGCCTAGCACCTCCCTCAGCACCCGGATGCAAAGGGGAAAATCAAGGATATTACCCAGAATAATAGCTAGCCTTTGTAGAGTGCTTTAAGCTTTGGCAAGGGGATTTACATACGGTTCTTAGGGAAGAGGTGCTATTATTATCCCTACTTTACAGATGAGGAAACAGGCAAAGAGAGGCCAAGTGACTTGCCCAGGGTCACACAGCTGGTAAGTGTCTGAGGCAGGATTCAAACACAGGGCCTCTTGACTCCAAGGTCTGTGTCCTATCCACCGGGCCAAATAGCAGTTCACTGAGAGCCTAATGGATTCTTCACATAACAAGAACCCACGGAACCAGTCACTCGGGCCACTGAGCAATACCCAGAGGCCTCCCCAGTCCATCCGCTCACCTCATTCTGAGCTGACCTCTCTAATATCCTCATCTCTGTGATCTCCCTAACCTTCTTGGAGGCTTGTCTCTGGTTCTTTGAGCGGGGCTCCGACTTTGAGATTTGCATTGCAATCTTCTGCCTGTCGCTGCCTGTGAACAGAAAGAAATGCACCCAGAGACGTGTAGAAATGCTTGTCTTCATTTAGGATTCGCAGTGAATGCAGAGGAAGCCTGGGCATCCCCAGGTACCCCCCGATACGCCCCCTCGTGAGATGCTGCATGGCTGTCACCAATGCTGAGGCTCTTCGGGATGGGCAGGGGGCAGGAAAAGAATGTGACCCCACCCTGGCATAAAACCTCAGGAAGCCACCCCCGCCACGCAGGGAACTGTTCTGGCTGATTCCTCCCAAGAAAGACAGGAAGCCATGGACACAAATATTCACAGCAGCTCTTTCTGTGGTGGCAAAGAACTGGAAATTGAGGGGATGCCCATCAGTTGGGGAATATATATGAACGTAGTGGAATACCACTGTGCTATAGGAAATGATGAGCAGGCAGACTTCAGAAAAACCTGGAAAGCCTTGTATGGACTGATGCTGAATGAAGTGGGCACAACCAGAACACTGTACACAGTAACAGCCTTGTTGTGCAATGACTAATGCTGGTAGACTTAGCCCTTCTCGGCAATGCAAGGATCTAAGACATCTCCAAAGGTCTCATGTTGGAAAATACTATCCACATCCAAGGAAAGAACTATGGAGTTTGAATGTGGATCGAAGCAGACTCTTTGCAACTTTTTTCTTCTGTTTTGTTTCGTTTCTTCTTTCTTGTGGCCCCTCATATTGGTTCTAATTCTTCTTTACAACATGACTCATGTGAAAATATGTTTAATAGGAATGTATTTGTATAGCCTATATCGGATTGTACACCATCTTGGGGAGGGAGGTGGGGAGGGAGGGAGAGAAAATTTAAAACTCAAAAGCTTATGGAAGTGATCGTTGATAAATCAAAATAAATTAATTTAAAAAAAAGAAAGAAAGAAAGAAAGACAGGATGTAAGCCGGAGGAGGCCTGGCAAAGAGCGGCCATGGGATGGAAGGAAGAAAGGAGTGCAGGGGGTGTGCACAGAAAGGGAGCAGCCTTCTGGCTCCAAAGAGCACTGGCTAGAGGGTGGATTTGTGTGAAGGGGCCCTGGGCAGAGTCACCAAATCCCAGCAGACCTCCGCCAGGGAGGCTCCCCTGAAGCTTGAGAAAGGCCAGTTCATCTGTGTGTCCATCCATCCACCACACTGATCACAAATTTACAAGGCATCTCCTATGTGCCCAGCACTGTACTAAATGCTTTGGAGATTCAAGCACTTGTACAAGAGCTGCCCTCAAGGAGCTTTCAACCCAGTTGGGAAGGCAAGACCTACACACCAGAAGTGAAATGATAATATAAGAGGAAAAACCTGCCACCACAGGGGATAACCCAGAGTCATCCTGGACCCCCTTTTCTGCCCCCTCTCCTGACCTATGTTTCCAAGGACTTTGCTCCCTAACCACCCACCGTCCTCGGTCTTTCCTCCAAGCCTTGGCCCAGAAGCCGCCTCCTGAGTCCCCTCGGGATTCCAACCCGGCCACACTGACGTCTCCATCGCCAGCTAGACCACTTTTTCTCCAAGCCCTACTGCCCCCCGCTTACCTTACCAACTAGGCCAGAAGCTTCTTCCTTACACAGTCTTAAAGGCAATCTTGTCTTACCCTGCTCACTTCTGCCAACTCAGGGTTGGGGTGCTGGGTAATCCCAAGAGCAGGAAGCTCCTTGAGAGACTTGAAAGGCAGAGGGAAGGGGTGAGAAGGGGCCCACGCTAGGTAGTCCTCTCACCAGCAAGCTTCTCTCTGCCTCTCATCAGCTCTTCTCTGCGGAATCGCACCGGCTCCAACTCAAAGTAGTTCCAATGTACGTAGCTCCTTGGGCTTGGGAACGTGCCTGAGGGGGACAGAAGGCAGATGAGAGGGAGCGAGTGAAGGACCACAAGATCTTTCTTCAGTAAGCATCGGAGGAGGCCAGATTGGGACAGGGGCTGTATGGGCCGTTGGAGACCCAGACCACCTAGAGCCAGGCCCTGGCTCTGATGCGGACCAGCTGGGAGATCCTGGAAAAAGCATTTTCCTTTTAGGAGCCTCTGTTTCCCTATCTGCCAAACAGGGCAATACTGCTAGTAATTCCTTAGCTCAGGAGCAGTCACAATGTGAGGGGTACAGTGGGGTACAGTCTAGATTACAAGTCAGAAGAGATCATGGCAAAGTCACCAGCCGCAGCTCCAGGACACAGACAAGGAGCAGGCTTCCCACCTCTTGGCAGGGTGGAGGCAGATCACCAAGACCAGTTTTCTGATATCACCAATGGGAGAATTCTTTTTTTTTGACCAGAATCCTCCCAAGGGAGAGCTTTTAATTTGGAGGGTGGGTGGCAGGGAGGTCAGCGTGGCTGTGGGAGTGGCTGGGCCGTGAGAGATAATAAAAAAGAAAGAAAACAGCTACAAAACAGTTAAGACAGCAGAAAGGGCTGGGGGAGGGTGTTCCTTTTATGTCCCATCCCTTTCTCTGTTCTTCTGTCCACTCTGTATGTGAACACATTCATGTCTGGTGCTGTTTGTCCTCTGTGAACGGGAGGGCCCGGCCTGAGGCCACCTTGCCTTGCTAAGCCAGTCTACTCTCTGAGCCTTAGTTTTCACTCACGTAAAATGGGATAATAGCCCCTTCTCAGTCTCTGCAGATGGGCCATTTGTGGGAAGGAAGCAGTGGCCCCCAGGGAGCCCTGACTCCTTCCTGCTCACCCACAGCAGTCTCTGCGGTGAGCACTTGTGCATGTTAGAGTTGGCGGAACCCACCCCGGGGCAGCTTCCTATGGATGACGGCAGTCAGTTTGTGGAGTTCTGGGTGAGTGCAAGGTCTGCCGTGTTTTCAGCTTGGTATGTACACGTAACAGAGATGTTTGGTTTGGTTTGTGACTGCTATACCTACCATACCAATCTGGCTTGACAAGGGCATTTTCTACTAATTAAAATTACTTAGAAATTTCCTTTGATGCGCAATCATATAACCTCCAAAATCTCATGGCACACTTCGAAGTGCTCCTGACACCCGAGGATGCCCCAGGACGCCCTCTGTGAAAAGTGCCCTAAGAACGTCTGGTCTGTCATTAACCTACGCTACCCTAAGCCTTAGTGAGCAAGAACCATCCCGAAAGGACCAGGCAGCCTGCAGCCAAAGCTGAGAGCTCCCGGAGATAATGAGCCCTGCGATAGAGACTAGAAGATAGATACAGATATAGAATCTGTATATATGATACACATACACACACACATACAGACACATATATATATGATTCTATGATATAGAATAGAAGATATATAGACTCTATATATGTTATACATACACATATGATTCTGATATAGAATAGTAGATATATAGAATCTATATATATGATACACACATGATTCTATGATATAGAATAGTAGATATAGATATAGAATCTATATATATGTTACACACACATATTTATGATTCTATGATATAGAATAGAAGATAGAGAGAAGCCCATCTTCTAGAACGGAATTCTCAGGATGTGAAAGGATGTGAGAGGGATGCACGCAGAACCTAGCAGGAAGGATCAGGAAAGAGCGTCCTTCTCATGATGGGTCCAAAGAGACTCTTCCAGGGAGGACGGGCAGGAAGCCTTGCTGTAGCCAAGCCAAAGCACAGAGAACTGGACAGGATCACTAGGAAGATTCATTCCCCTCCTCCCCCAAGTGGAGAGAACTGGAATTTCTCACCTCCAATCCACTGATTCATGGTGTCACAGATGGAAGATTTGAATTCGTGATTGTCGAACCACGACTGTGGGAAGCAGGTGCAGAAGCTGGTATAGAGGGCTTGGCTCAGGAGGGATGGGAAACTCTGAAAATCAGAAAGAGACAAAGAGAAATCCACAAAATCCCCACACCCCTCAGGCTGAGCCCCAGCACCCCTGCGAAGGCTCGGCTGGCTCGGCTCATCTGAAAACCAGGCGGGGCAATTTTTTTTCTCCTTCTTCCTTGAACAGAGAATCTGATCTGAGCATCTCTAACAACCTGCCTCGTCCTAATTAACTCTCAGCTGCTCTCCCAGCAGCCTCAGGATGGGCCAGGATAGTGCTTCTGCCAATCCCTCTGGTCACAGCCTGCCTCAGGGCCTGGAACCTACTGGCCAACACACGCCTATCTCCCCCATACCAAAGACAACAGCAGCTTCTTCCAAGGCTATCCTCTCTGTAATCCATTAGTATCTGCAGCAGGCAGGCCCCCCACCCTGAGATAACAGATACTTCCAAGGTTAAGGAACAGGCTTCTTCCTGGGGCTAATTATGATTCAGCACAGGCCTCCCAGGTCAGAGCTACCTGCCCAGAAGACCAATTGTGAATCCAGAAAACTGTCCACTAACACGGTTATCTCTGCCCTCGGCCAATCAGCACTTCCCAAGCTCTGAGGCCAGAGTAAAGGGAAGAATTGGCAGACAAGTGACATCAGAAGTAAAGTTTTTCTCTTTATAAACAAGAGCAACTGGACTTCCAACTGAACCCTGCTGAAGGTGCCCTGATGCACAAGATAGCCACTACCTGCTCCTCAGTCATGAGAACCGAAAAGAGAAAGGACCCCTCCCAGCGCCAGCAGGGACCTTGGCGGTCACACTGTTTTGGCATTCTTCTGGGACCTGGGACCTGGGACCTGGCAGAGGTCCATCAATACTCCCCACTTGAATACGTAAATTAAAACAAAGAAATACATGCGTAGACCCTATAATGTTGGTCTAGGGAACTCTAAGGGGAATAGCAAGCCCAGGATAGAGTGCAGTAACGTGGGAGAAATTTTGGAATCAAAGAAAGTAAGCCTGTTTTCAAATAGAAAAAAATGTCACACGTGACCTCTCGAATGAGGGAATCTGGCTAGATAGTCTCAAAACTCTCCCCCAGCTCTCAGCCTATTATCCAGAACACTGGCGGGCCAGTCAGAGCGCCAGCTTAGGAGTCACCAATCCCAGAATCCAATCGTGGCTCTGCTGTTTGTCAGCTGGGGGGCCTTGGCCTAGTCTTTCACCTTCTTTGGGACTCGGTTTTTCTCCTCTCTAAAATGGGGGGCAGGGTTTGGACAGGATGGTGTCTAAGGGCTCTTCCAACTCTAAATGTTGGATCTACGATATTTAAAGGAAAACGTGTTTTTAGCATTGACTTTTTCCCAGGGGGCCTGTGACCACATCCTGTGGAACCCTGGGGGTGATTTTGCAAGGCACATCCACTGAAACACAGTGGGGGAATAAGGGAGGTGAAGAATGGGGCTTCCAGCTATCTGAGCCACTTACTAGCCCCGTGGCCACGGCCAGTGACCTCATCTGTGTATCGGCAGCACAGCCCCTAGACGGGAGTCAGGAGACCTGGGTTTGAAAACGACCCAGATGCTTAGTAATTACCGTGTAACTGCACAAGCCCTTCCCCTCTCTGTCTCAGAGTCCTCCTCTGTAAAATGAGGGACAGTATAGAGGCCATGACCAAGCTCTAAGTGCGCGAGGCTATTATCCCGGGATCTCCTCCCCGCCCACTTTAGTCCTCAGGGGTGCTACTCTGGCATCTGTGCAGATGGTCCTCGTCGCTCTCCTGAGATTCAGACTCACACCTCTACCTGCCTCCTGGATGTCCCCAAGGGGAGGCCGCATAGGCCTCCAGCCCCACCTCAACAGATGCTCAACCCAACTCAATCATCTGCCCCCCAAACCTTTTCCTCCCATGGCTATCCAACGATCCTCCCAGTCGCCCCGGCTCAAATCTCAGCGTGTCCTCAGCTCCTCCTTCATACTCACCCCCCAGAGCCAACCAGCTGTCACACCTCGTCATCCTCCCTTCCTGGCCTCCCTCTCATCCAGCCCCTCCTCAGGCCTCATCCCCTCTCGCATGGACCACTGCGGTAGGGGCCTCCTGATTGGTTAGCCTGCCTCAAGCCTCTCCTTATTCAGCTACCAAAGGGATTTTCTGGAAGTGCAGGTCTGATTGTGACACCCTCCCCCCTTACCTTCAGCTGCTCCCTATCACCTGGATCACGCTGGGTGACATTTACACCCCTTCAGCCCTCTCCAACGCTCTTCTGATTTACTCACTACCATGCCTCTAGGAGCCAGCTACCTTGATTCCGTTCCTTGCCTCTGGACTCACGGCACCCCACCCCGGACTCCTGGCCTCCCTGCTTCCTTCACGACTCAGCTCGGGCCCTCCCAGAACTCGTGTCAGCCCCTCCAGGATCCTCTCCCACTGATGCTGGATCTCGCTTGTATGCAGACCCAAGGGAACATGGGTCCCTTGACTAAGAGCAAGGATCATACTTTGGCCTTTCTTGGTATCCCCCTATGCCTGGCACACAGAGAATCGCTGCGTACTCACTACCTACACATAATATGCCCCAGCAAACTCCCCAACACTCCAAGCCTCATGGAGGTGCCCACATGTGGGTGCAGAGGCTCTACTCACTGAAAGCTCCCCCACCAATTAAATCATAGCTCCTGACCCCCAAATGCTTTGAAAAGTGCTAAAGCCCTGACCGATTCAAAGGGGCATCACAGTCATCATCCCTAACAAACTTTCCAGTCAATTCCTGAGCCAGCTGTCAGCAGCCTCCCAGTAAAGGCCTCAGGTCTGCGCAGACGTGAGCCGACTTTCCTATGCAGGTTTTCGTGGCCAAGTGATGAGGTACAGTGAAAAGCAGGCTGGGCTTGGGGCCGGAGGACCTGAATTTAAATCGTGGCTCTGACACTGATTCGCTGTGTGGCTGGGTACCAGGATGGGGACAGACATGCTCTTGTGTTTCTACCAGGCAGGGGGGCCAAGACTCCCAGCTCTGACGAGGACGGGGCCCTCCTAAACCCAGGGAGCAGCACGGAGGATCTGGGCTCCATGAGGCGGGAGACCTCCAACCCAATCCCAACGCCTGCTGCTCTGCTCAAACCCCGTGGGGTCCTGGACAAGTCACGACCTGTCTGGGGGCCTCAGCTGTCTCACCTGGGGCTCCCTCCCAGCAGAGATGAGCCGCCGTGATCCTCCCCCCATGCTCTGGGTACTCACTCGCAGGATGAATTCTTCGTGTAACGACCTGGGCATGTCCAGCAGGAGATGAGCATAGTTCTTTGACACTCGGTCAAATAGCTTCCTCTGGATCTCCTTGTTTGGCTGCCAGAAATGGAAATGGAAAAAGGGCTATTGAACTGTCTGTGACTGATCCAGCCAAGAGGCTGAATGTTTTATACGACTATTCCCCATTTGAAGGAAATTTGCTTCTCAGGACCTCAGGTCTGGATGAGATCTCCAAGGCCATCTAGTCTAACCCAGCCCTCACCCCCAAATGGCCCCTCAGACTCTGTTTCCTGCGGGAGACAGCTGATAGTGAGGGTTTTCTACCGGCCTCCCTGCACCTTGCCTCTTTACTCCACGTCTACCTTTGGCCATCAAGCAGGTAAGTATCAACCTTCCTCCATGGGACAGCCCTGGAAGCAGCTGGAGACAAATATCATGGCCTCCTTAGATCTTCTCGACTCCATGCCAAATGTCCTTCACTTGACCATTCCGTGGTCTGGCCTCTAGGCCTTTGGACCTTCAGAAGCTTGTCAATGTGGCATCCAGAACTGAGCCCCAGGGTGGAGGACAATGGGAACACGGCCTCACTCATGCTCTTAGTGCAGGTAGCACTGGCTTTTGGGGCCTCTATGTTCATCACACTAAATTCCAGATCTTTGTCAGACCAACTCTTGGTAGCAGTGCCTGCTCTATTCACATACAAATGTGTGAAGTTGTGTTTGTTTGTTTGTTTGTTTTAACCTAAATGTAGGGCTTTTTAAAAATCTCTGTTAAATTTCATTTTATTAGGGTGAGCCCAGTGATCTTTTTGGGCCCTGGCACCTCCAGCCATCCTTCCCAGCTTCCTGATTGGTGCAAATCTGAAAAGCCTTCGTGTCCAGGCCTTCCTTTGTCACTGATAAAAATGGGAGACGGGACAGAGCAGAGGTTGTTGGGGTACATGCATTGGAGATTGCCCTCCAAGGGGATCTCAAGTCCCTAATACTCTGGTCCTGGTCTTTCCACCTGCTCTGAGTTCATGGGCTATGCTCCTATCCTGTCCACCCCTCCCTGGCTTGTCCACCAGGACACCATGAGAGTGGTACTCTATTGCACTGCCCTAATCTAGGAACCCTATCAATCAAAGGAGGCAGCCAGGCTGGTTCTCAGTAATCCCAGATTCCCTTTCACAATGTTCACCAGCTAGCCCATTAAGAAGACATCCTAGAATTCTGCCAGTAATGAAGTCAAGGTCACTGGCTCACCATCCCTTTTGTGAAAACCAGGGCACTACAAACTCAGCCCTGCAGGGCCTTTCCCATTCTCCATGACCTTTCAAAGGTCACTTGGGGGAGGCTCAATATTCATGCCCAGCATCTGGGGATATAGGCTGTCTGCCTCCAGTGACTTGAACTCCTCTAGGGGGCAAGGTGCTGCCTCATGACTCCCTACTGGCCATTGGGCCTTCTGTCTTTTCTAGCCTCATAATCGCTCTCCTTGGCTGAGAAAGCAGAAACAAAGGAGACCCTCTGCTTTCTCTGCATGCTGGGGCATCCAGACACCTCGCCCCTGCTGATCTCCGTGTGCCTCGCCAGCCAAGCCCATTACTCCTGACACAACTTGTCCCAGGACCAGGCCAGGTTTCTGTCTTGGTCCTCTGCTACCTGCCCTTGCTCCTACCCTCTCTACGTGCCTTTAGAAGTCTACAGAGTTGGAGAAGGGCGGCCAATCCATGTTGGTCTCTCTAGGCTTCCTTCTTAAATTGCTTGTGTTCTGAAGTGTCTTCAGAACTTCAGTGCTGAGAGCCCCGCAGCTGCTGGGGGCTGGCTTCCCTGGCTGCGGCTTCACAGTTATGTTTGTCCTCTCTCTCAGCACTGAGCCTCACAACCACCTGGTGTGGGCTAGCGCCTAAAAGTATTCTTCTTCTTCGTATTTCACAGATGAAGAAACTGAGAAGAGGGCTGTGGTCGGTCTGGGGTCACACAGCTACTACGTAAGTGCCAAAGGTGGGACGTGACCACAAGTCTCCCTGACTGCAAATCCAGAACTCATGCCCAGATTCCCTCTCCTTCCCTACCACATTTCTCATCACCTCTGTCTCTGTAGCCAATTCCTCCCAGCTGCTCCCAAAGAGCACTTTTCCAGGTTGCTTCCTCCACCTTTTGAAGAATGAAATAATTTATAAATTTTTGCACTAATCAATCCATTTTACATAATTGACAAAATTCAATAGCATCTTTTGGGCGGAGGCGAGAAGATGGAAAGTGGAGGCCGTAGGAGGGCACTTGGCTGACAGGCAAGAGAATCGAGCTCCCATCCCAGCTCTATCACCAGCCTGTTGTGTGGCCTTGGCCAAATCACTTGATGTCCTTTGGCCTCAGTTTCTTTCTCTACCATCTCTCCCTCTCAGAAGATGGTGATGCCTTCTGTTGGGGTGGACACTGACTTCCATCTCTCCTTGACACTGTCAGGACAAAGCTGACCGTTTGGGAACAAAGCTGCCAAGGTTAGGGGAACCCCAAACACAGGGGAAAATGACTGGTCCGGAGGAGAAAGACCAAAGTGATGGGAATGATGGTGGAGGAAAGATCCCCAAGCCAGGAAGTCATGGCCAGGAGCAGTAACTTAACTCCTGCTCTACCCAAAGACTGAATGAGGTCTGGGACGATGATGAACCTGTGTGAAGAGCTCTCTTCAATTTGATTTTCCCTTAATGTAAGTCACCAACTTAGGCATGCAACAAGCATTGATGAAAAAGGCCTACTCTGCACACAGCATGGTTAATGGGCAAAAGGAGTTGACTGTACACAGAGTCCCTTTACGGCCAACTCTGTTGGTCTCCATCTGCTCCACAAAGTGAGGCCTACCTGTAAACGAGAGGAAAGTTCCCAGGGTTGGGCCTGTCGTCATTCACTTGAAGCAACATAATTTGGCAAGTAGCCCTGGGTTCCATTTTGAAGCTTCTCTATTAATTTAATTTTCTCTTTGGCCTTGGAAAATGCCATTTCCCCCTTAGGGCTGGGAGGCTTCCGTTTTTTTTTTGTCATGACCCCTCTAGGTAGTCAGCCTGGGGAAGTCTATGGATCCTTTCTCCAAATCATGTTTGTTTGCTTTTAATTCATAATTGAAGGAAATGCTCAATTTCAATGAGAAGTTAATGTAAATGAAGATGATTGGGTTTTTTTCCCATGCAAGTTCCATGGGCCCTCTGAATCTGAGGTCTGTGGCCCCAGGTTAAGAACTCCTGCCTAAAAGGGATGTGATGAGAACAAAGAAAGTGTCTTCATTTGCTTGTAAGATGAAGTCTGATGATGAAGCCTGGACCCAAGAGGTGGGGACCACATGTCCTGGGTGACGGCTGCCTGGCCGAGTGACTCTCTCGCATAAAAAACTGGCCCACTCATAAAGATCTGGGATTTCCCAGGTACCGCTACCCCCTCCATCAGTGTAAACACAGGCTGCAATCCTCCTGACCAGCGTGATCGCTCTTTCTGGGGTGTGGAAGACAAAAACCCGAGCCGTGAGGCAGTCCTTGGGCAGCAGGTGGAGGCCACGGCCAGGCATCTATGGGAGGCCCTTCTGGCTCGTCGGGACCTGCCTGGGCTTCCGGCCATCTCTAACAAGTCAGGGTCACCTTCACCTAAGACGAGGCGTCATGGGAGGACAAGCCCAACCTCCGAGTCTGTCTGCCAAACTGTTGGGAAGTCTTAAGGACGGTCATGGCTACAGCCCTGAGCCCAGAGGCACCAAAGAGACATCAGGGCAGCGATGAGTTTTCATCACTTCCCTCCTCTCTCCTGGAGCCAGACTTCATCTGCTCCGCCTTCCTTCCTTACATCGTATCTTTCATGAAAGATCCACCAGAAACAGTCCAGCACGATAGCCTTGGAAAACGGAGATGAAAAGAATCTGTTCATTTCTTCTGGTGCACACAAGGCCTGAGGAAATAAAATCCAGAGTAGTTACTCTTACAAGCTGCCCATAACATTGGTGTTGTTATTATTATATGCAGCCCACAGCATCACCATCATCAGCATCACTATTTAGGCCCACGACACTGTTATTGCTGTTGTTGTTATTTACTGCCTATGACGTTACTACTGTTATTATTACATACTGCCCATAACATCATTATTGCTGCTATAATTATTATATCCTGCCCATATCATTATTGCTGTTAGATACAGTTCACAACGTCCTCCTCCTCCTCATCATCATCATTATATAATGCCCATAACATTGGTGGTGTCATTATCCTGCCCACAACACTGAAATGGACCAAAGGCATCCATTCAGACAAGAGGTCACTGTTTGATGGCCGGCCCAGTGGGAAGGGTGTTCTGAGGGTAAAGGTGATGTTTGGGCAGCTGGAGGAAGGGGAGAGAGACAACGGCATTTCCGATGTCTTGTGCCAGAACCAGACCTTGCCCAGGAGGCAGGAGCCCGAGCCCATCCTGCCTGTCACCACTTGGCTCTGTGACTGTGGGAAAGTCTCACAAGCTCTCCGAGCCTCAGTGCCGTCATCTATAAAATGCAGAAGCTCCCAGAGTCGTCAGAGTGTGCAAACTGGAAAAGACGACAAATGATGAGAAAACGCAATGTTGAAGGAGGCGCGGGAAGACGGGAACACTAAGGAACTGTGGGGGAGTGGTGAATGCTCAGATGGCTTTGGACATCAGTCTGGGATGACGTACAAAAAGTCACTCAACTGTCCATTCCTGCTGAACCAGCGATCCCCGTCCTGAGCATGAATGCCAAGAGGGTCACAGACTGAAACAAAGGTCCGGTCCACACCAAAATGTGTGTGGCAACATTTTTTTGTGCAAGCAAAGAACTGGAAACAGAGTGGGTACATAATGACTTGGGATTGGCTAAACAAACTGGTGTCTGAAGGTAATGGAATATTTGTGTGTGTCAGGAAATTACAATATGAGGAACTCTGAGAAGCTGGGAGGGTCTGTACAGACTGAGAGGGTAAGAATAACAGTGATGAGGACAGCTACCCCAACCATGCCAGTGAAGACAGAAGCTCCTCAGAGGAAGCCGGCATCTATACCCCTGAAAACTCACAACGACCCCGCAGAGCAGGTCACGAGGAACGCCCCAGTCTTCTCTGGAGAGCGAGGGCATGAGGAGAAGAAAGGGAAAATGTCGTCTGATAGAAGGGGCTTTTTTTTGGGGGGGGGTGAGGCAATTGGGGTTAAGTGACTTGTCCAGGGTCACACAGCTAGTGAGTGTTATGTGTGCGCGCCTGAGGCCAAATTTGAACTCAGGTCCTCCTGACTCCAGGCCTGGTGCTCTATCCACTGTGCCACAAAGGGCTTTGCTCAGTTATTTTTCCTGGTTGTAAGTTAGCATCCAATTTGGAGGTGGAAGAGAAGGATATTTCCAGAAATTATCACGATGTAAAAACTAAAGACAACAATAAAACTTACTTGAACAAATACCCAAAATGATGGGGCAAAATGAGATTATTCCTTGCGTCCTTCCCATGTCTCTAAACCCTATGACTCTAAATCACCCCCTTCTGGGCTTCGGTTTCCTAACCTAGAAAACGAGGAGGTTGGACGAGATGCTCTCCGGTTCCATCGCTCGACAGGGGACAAAGGGCGAGGTCAGCAGAGGAAAGATTTCCTTGTTGGTAGCGGGCTGGGGACGCTCGCTCTCCCATGCTGACAGTCCCAGGGGTCTGGAACATCAGGAGGTGTTACCCAGGTCACCGGGACAGTGTGTGTCAAACTGGGAAGCTGGGTCTGTGGCCTCCCAACCAGAACGCAGAGTCAGCTCTCCCTCATGGCCAGATTGCCCCCCAGGGGAGCCTGTGAGGCTGTGAGAACGTGCTTATGCCCAGGAGGGTCAGTCTGGTCAGCGGTGCATCCTCCCAGAGCATGCTGGTGCCTGGGAGCCAAGGCAGCTCTCACGGACGGCTGCCACATTGACTCATGGGACTGGGGGCCTTTCCCCCTTTTCTCTCTTTTCCAGACTGTCCCCTGCCCACTTGTGGAGGCTGAGTCTACAATCTACTCTCACTCCTTCCCTTTCCTCCTGAGCCCAGAAAGGATCCCACAGAGTCCCAGGACCTCAAAGGTGAAAGGGGCCTCAGAGACTGAGTCCAACCATAGCACAGAACAAATCCCTTTGTCAACATTCTTGACCACTGGGCTTCCAGCCTCTTCATGAAGACCTCCAGTGACGGGGAACTCACTCCCACCAAGGCAGCCCCCTTCCACTCTGGGACAGCTAACAGCCTCTCTCTGCAGCTTCCCCCCACCCCCGCCCCTGAGCTCTTGCTTCTGCCCTCTGAGGCCAACACAAACAAGCCTGATCCCTCTCCTGGATGACAGTCCTTCACAGCGCTGAGAAATCTGGGGACCACAGGACCTGGAGGTGGAAAGGCCTGAGATGATCTGGTCCAATCCCATCACTGCACATCAGAGGAAAGCGAGGCCTGGCAAGATGAGGGGACTTGTCCAGGGTCACCCTGCAGGAAGGACTCGAGGACTCCAACACCATGTCACCACCTTGGGCCCTTCCCCATCCCAACACCGGCCTTCCTCAGCTGGCTCCGGCTTATCCTTTCCCCTGAATGCAGAGCACCAGGCTCACGGCCTCCTCCCACACCGTGGTCCACTGAGGCACTGACCTGTCTCGGGCAGGAGGGGCTCCACAGACCCAGCTCAGATATCAGAGGATGAAGATCTGGGGGGGTGTGATGGCCCCCCCAGAGCTCTTCCACTGGTTCAGGCCCAGGCTCCTGGCCTGAGCAGGCATGGAGGTTCTGGGCAGAACAGCTGGGCTCCAGCATTTCGGAGCTAGAGAGGGGGAGGGGTCGTAAGGTGTGTGGACTAAGACCTGGACAGGGGAAGAACTTGTCCATGGACACACAGTGAATCAGGCAGCTCGCCTCCCACTGGGGCCGATTCTGATTCCGAAATGCTTCTTCCGTCCGCCTGCCCCCTCCTGAATACCCAGTGTACAACGCCCCCTGAACCTTGCCCTGGGGCCCGCTCTCCTGAGGCAGGCAGCCTCCTCCCGATCTGGGGGCCAGCGAGCCTCTGGGGGAGGGGGGAGGGCGGGGAGAGGGGTGAGGCCATTCCTTTGTCCTCCCCACAGTGTAAAGACATAAAGTGGACACAGGAGCAGCTATTTCCTTAAAAAGAGGGTGTGAGTATTTTCCCAAAAAATCGTTAGTTCTCAGAGCTGGAAGGGACCTCTGGGGCCAAGCAGCCCCACCTGTGCCTAAACAGAGTCTCCCCCACACCATCCCCCAACGGCATAAGGGATAGTGGGTGAGGGATGCTGTGGGCCGGTCACATACCAAGAGAGAGGGGCCAAAGGCAGACACTGGGGTACTGGCCTGATACTCATGTAACCCTAATAAGCCTTCAGAAAGGTCTTTGAATAGCTTCCTTATAAGAGAGCACAGGCCATAATCCAACTGGATGAGCTCATGGTTACCTCGCTGGAGACTTGGTGTGTGCATGTGGCATGTGTGTGTGTGTGTGTGTGTACGCGCATGGTCACAAGGAGGCGTGGCGGGGCTGTGATCTGCACTGGTGGAGGGAGTAGCCCTCTCAGGAGGTCCTCAGTCCACAGAAGCAGGGAAGTCTCTGGGCAGTGAGCATCTCAAAGCCCATCCTAGCTGCCCCCTGGGCCCAGAAGACCACAGGAGACAAGGGACAGAAGTGTTCTGGGCAGCTGACTGAATGTCCTCCTGATGTCTCGGGGCCCCACGTGCCTCGCCCTCACCTCCTCTAATTACCTTGCCACTGAGGGTGCTCCCCTGCGCCCGGATGACGTTGCCCACCATGTCACAGTAGTTCACCCCGTTTGGCAGCTCACTGGGCAGCGCCGCGTTATACTCTGGGGCCTGGTACAGCTCAGCTAGCCCGTCCTGGGTTCTCTGGAGAGCATCAAGAAGGAAGGAGTCACTGGGTCAATATGGGGTCAGTGTGAGAACACCCAAGTCTGACGGCCTGTAGGAGGAACCCGCTGATCCTTCATCCTGGCAAGTCCTCCCTCCCCTTCCTCAACAGCCTCCCCAATGAGCGGTTCTCTGGCCTTCTCCTGGAACCCTCAAGTGAAGGAGAAGCCCCTGGCTCCTGCGGCTCCACTCTGGGGCTGAAATCTGCCCTTCTGCAGCTTCTACCCACAGCTTACATTCTGCCCTTCAGGCCCCACTCAAACAAGTGTGATCCCTCATCGACGGCACCACAGCCTTCAAATCCTGCATCGGCAAGGAGACTTCAGCAATATATCACAATGTGACCAGGTCGGATTTATGCCAGGAATGCAGGGCTGGTTCAACATTAGGAAAATCATAAACGTAACTGACCACATTAGTATCAAAAACAACAAAAAGCATGTGGCTATGTCAACAAAGGTAGAAAAAGCTTTCGACAAAATACAACTCATTCCTGTTTAAAAAGAAAAAAACAACAACACAAGAAAACATAAGAATAAATGGATCTAAAATCAAGAGCCAGCCTTCTCTGTAATGGAGATGAACGAGGCCTCTCCAGTAAGACCAGGGGTAAAGCAAGGAGGACCATTATCACCTTTACTCCTCAATATCACGCTAGAAATGGATGCTACAACGACACAAGGAAAAGCCATTGAGGGAATGCATGCCAGCAAAAAGGAAACTATGCTATCACTTTTTGCAGATGATATGATGGTTTACTTGGGAGAAGTCAACTAAAAAACTAACTGAAACAATGAACAACTTCAGCAAAGTTGCTGGGCATAAAATAAACCCATATAAATCCTTATCATTTTTATTTGTTACCAACAAAATCCAGCAGGTAGAAATAGAAAGAAAAGTTCCATTTAAAATAACTAGGGGCAGCATAAAAAACTTAAGATTTTACCTGCCAAAACACACACAGGAACTATGTGAACACAATTAAAAATATTCTTTAAACAAATCTAAATAACTAGAAAAATATTAGTAGCTCACGGGTAGCTTGAGCTAAGAACAATCAAACTACAAAAGGATTATTTTATAGAAATAGACAAATAATGACAAAATTCATCTGGAGGAACAAAAGGAAATCAATGGAAAAAAAGTGGGAGGTAAGGGGGCCCAGCAGTACCAGATCTCCAACTCTACCATAGAGCTGTAATCATCCCAAAAGTTTGGGCCAGGTAAGAAATAGAGTGTTTGATCAATGGAAGGATTAGGTGTACAAGGTTGTTCAGGCATTTTCAGTCGTGTCTGACTCTCTGTGACCCCATTTGGGGTTTTCTCGGCAAAGATACTGGAGGGGTTTGCTGTTTCCTTCTCCAGCTCATTTCACAGATGGGAAAAAGGGAGGCAAATAGGGCTAAGTGACTTGCCCAGGGTCCCACAGATAGTATCTGTCTGAGGTCAGATTTGAACTCATGAAGATGAGTCTTCCTGACTCCAGGCCAGCACTATATCCACTGCAGCGCCACCTACCTGCCCAAGATGCACAACACAGAAGCAAATGAGCACAGTATCCGAGTGCTTGATGAACCCAAAGATCCCCCTGCTAGAGGGGTAAGAACTCACTATTTGACAAAAACTGTTGGGAAAACTGGAGAGCAGTCTGGCAGAAACCAGGCACAGAACAACTTCTCACCCCTTACCCCGAGATAAGCCCCAAACAGGTGCGTGACTTAGACAGAAAGGGAGTCATCTTAAGCAAACTAATGGAGGAAGGGGGAAATCACCTCAGCTCCACGCACAGGGAGGAGCCCGTGGCCAAACGAGGGCGAGCGAGCCAATCACAGGAGGCAAAATGGGCAATTTTGATCACAGACAATCAAAAAGCCTCTGCACAAACAAAGCCAATGCAGCCAAAATTAGAAGGGAAGCCGGCAAATGGGGGGGGGGGGCGAATGCTTTGCAGCAAGTTTTTCTCCTAAAGATCTCATTTTTAATATACACAGGGAACTGACTTGAATTTATAAGAATAAAAGTCACTCTGTAATAGATAAATGGTCAAAGCACGTGAATGGGCAGTTCTCTTTTTTCGCTGGGGGAGAGGGGAGGCAGTCGGGGTTGAGTGACTCGTTCAGGGTCACACAGCCACTAGGCGTCTGAGAGCACATTCGCACTGAGGTCCTCTGACCACAGGGCTGGTGCTCCATCCGCTGCGCCACCCAGCTGCCCTGAATAGGCAGCTTTCAGAAGAAGAAATCCACACCAACAGGCTAATGAATGCACGTGCCCTTTGTCTGTCCCTGTCTCTCAGCAGGTGCCAATGCTCTCTCAAGCACTCCAGCGAGAAGCGTGTTCCCAGACCTCTGCAGCTTTCGACACTGCCATCCGGAGCATCTCTCTTCCTTCTGCGCTTCTGAACCACTTCTCTCCCCGGTGCTGTTCCTGCCTCTCTGACCACTGCTTCACATGAGCCTGGGCATCTGCCGTCTCATCTCTCTCATGTCCCACCCCTACACCTGCCCTGCTCCTAACTGCCCTACGCGCGCCGAGGGCACCTGCCATCACTGAGGTTCACAAGCTCGGTCTCCACATCCAGGCCCTTGTCAAGTTTTACCCAACCTAAAAATAAGACTCACATAGCACTAGCGTTTCAGAGCACTTTACAGCCATCCTCTCATCTGAGGATCCCCTACCCCAGGAGATAGGTCCCTCGGACATTTCACTCATGAAAAAACAGAGGTCCTGAGAGGACCACTGTTGCACAGCTGCCCGTCGCTGGCATCTGTCACCATCCTTCGGGTCACAGGACGCTCGCAACCACACCCTCATCCAACACTGACTTCAGACCTTCGCCCCTCCCACCTGGGCCACTGTAGGAGCCTCCCCACTGGTCCCCCTGCTTCCAGTCTGTCCCCTCCCCAATTTATCCTCCAAACAGCTGCCCCTGATCTTCCCAGGACATGTGTCTGACCATATCCCTGCCCAGCTCAACAGACTTCCCAAGATTCTGGGTTCTCTAAAACGCACACTTCTCAGACTACCATTTAAATGGTCCATGATCCAGCCCCTACCCACCGACCTTTGCAGGTCTATTTCATGTTATTCCCCTTCATTTCTCTTTTTTTGAGCTCCTGATGGGAAGGTGGCCACCCTACGAAGCTCAGGGTCAGGCCCTTTCTAAAGGGAGATTCCTTGGGAGGGAAAGCATTGGCCTGCAGGTACACAGGCATGGGATGGGTGTGGCCAATGCCAGACCCCTTCCCTCGCTCCTACCTCCGCCCGTCCAGCTCTCAGCCACCCAAATTTCCCACTGCCTACCTGGCTCCATCCCTCCCTGTGTTCCTACTGCCTCTATTTGTGCCTGGGCTGCTACAGAACTCAATGCTATTATTGGTTCCGTAGTTCAGCACGATTAGCAGTTAAACAAGCCTTTGTGGGCTGGTGTCAGAATCAGACTGCTATTTATAACACTGTTTCTATGGGAAAATGCATTCTGACTTGCAAACAAACCTTTGGAGCATAACCCTGTTAGTTGAGAGGGGGGAGAGATGGTGCCTGTGTCACAAAGGGGCTCTGTAAAACGAGGGGCGGCTCGGGGTGGCCCCCTGAGGCCCCTCTGAGCTCCAGCCTTCCCCTCACAGGACCCTAACCTGGGGCGATGCCCTCCTCCCACGCAGGGCCACAGCATGGAGGGGACCTCAGGGAAAAGGCCCTGAGGACAGGAGCAGCCCACGCAGTGCAGAGGCTGACCCTTAAAGGTGCTTCCTCATCCCAGGACCTTCTCCTGATCACAGACCCACCTGGGGACACCCGACTGCAGGATGAGAGGGAGGGTGGGACAGGGACGGCTTTGCTCTTCACCAGACTGGAGATTCTTTTTTTTTTTTTTTCTTTTGGCAATTGGGGTTAAGTGACTTGCTCAGGGTCACACAGCTAGTAAGTGTCAAGTGTTTGGTCTGAGGCCAGATTTGAACTCAGGTCCTCCTCACTTCAGGGCCAGTGCTCTATCCATTGAACCACCTAGCTGCCCCTAGACAGGGGATTCTGTTACTGCAGGGGAGTCCCAGGAAAAAAATTCCCTCCATCTTCTTTGCAACCTAGGAGTCTTAGAAAGCGACTGGGAGCCCTCAGAGGTAAAGGGATTTGTCCCCCATTACCGATGTCACCAGGACCTGAACCCAGGGCTTTCTGTCTCCAAGGCCTACCCTGCTGAATCTCCAGGTACAGAAAGCAGAAGGCCAGTGCAGCAGAGGGTTAGGACTACAGACTAACTCTTCATCCCATCAGGCTGTACCAGGGAGCACGGGGCATGGAGGACTGCAGGGTGCCACGTGAGGCTGCCCATTGGCCGGACAAGCATCACACGTGAACTTTCAGGGTCCACAACCCAGACCATGGGCACTGCAGGACACAGGAAACCATCGACTCTACCTCATTACAGCCATACTGCTTCATTAGGGGTTCCTCCAACCCTGGGGGCCAAGGCCTCAGCACACGTGTGGCCCTCGCAAATGAAACCGAATTCATGCCCAGCAGAAGCAGGGAAGCAGCCACCCCCAGCTCAGGCTGCTTACCTTTTTCAACCTGGCACAGGGAACACTTGAAGTCGATGGAGTCAGCGAGAAAAACTTGGGTGACTTCTTCTTGGCTTTGTTAGATTTCTCTGCAACGACAGAGGGAGGCGGGTGAGATTGGACTTGAAGCAGTCTTTTCACCGACAGGAGCCACTCTGGAGGGAGGTTTCCCTGAATCCCTAGCTGTAAAATTACATCTTTACTACGATGCCCACCAAAATACACCCAAGAGTACAAGGGGCATCTATAGAGCTGCTCTTCACATACCTTCTGCTAACACTGTGTGGCTTTTATTCATTCATTCAGCATTTATTAGGTACCTACTGTATGCCGGATGCAAGAGATACAAAGACGAAACAGCCCCTGACTTCAAGCAGTTTATGTTCGGGGTGGGGGGGAGGAGAGGAAGGAGGGGAATACACAGAGAAAAAATGAACTAAAATTTTGTATGTGTGCATATACATACATATATAATATGTACATGTGCAGAGAGAGAAGAGGGGAAAAGAGAGGGAGGAAGGAGGAGAGAGACAGAGGAGAGAGAAGAGGGAGAGAAAGGGAGAGAAAATGGAGAGAGAAAAGAAAAGGGGGGAGGGGGGAGAGAGGGAGAGGGAGAGGGAGAGGGAGAGGGAGAGAGAGAGAGAGAGAGAGGAGAAAGGGGGGAGGGAAGAGTGAGCACACAGCTGTGTTATCCAAAGTTCTTGTCCAGGATCCTTTAGCAGAAATTAATGGCCTTCATCCCCCTTGGTTACAAGGTTCTTTTTAGCATGTCTAGCCAAGTCTAACTCATTAAATCTTCACTCAGAATTCATTAAATCTGTACTGTGTACTGGGGACAGCTAGGATTTGGGGAAGATGAAAGTTCAGAGAAGAGCCCTGCGCACACGGGGCTAACAGTCTAGTAGAAAACCCCCTCCACAGCATCGCAAGCTGAATGTTCCAGTGGGGTACAAGTGCCGCGCCTATAAGGCTGGCAGATGAGGGGAGGAGGAGGCACTACAGGCTGGCACAATCACAGGGAGACCTTATGGAGATAGGGGCATTTGGTCAATGACCTTGGAGTCAGAGCACCCACACTGGAGTCCTGGTTCCACTCCTTACAAGCTGCAGGACCTTGGGCAAATCACTTGGCCTTTCTGGGCCTCAGTTTCCCCAGTGTCCGCTTTAATTCTAGAAGTCTCTACTCTACAAGGTGCACTTTGAAAGAGGTGAAGAGTGGAGGGAAGGCCCCCTGGGCTGCCCAGGAGGCAGCCTGAGAGCTCTTTGTGTGTCCTGGGAAGAGTGAGCAGGACCACAGGATTGAGAGCTGGAAGGGACCTGAGCAACTAACTTTTCCCCTCCCTTCATGGTACAGATGAGGAAACTGAGGTTCCAAATGGGGAAGTGACTTAAGAGGCTTTGAGCGGAAGGAGACGTAGCAGCATCCCTTTGGTTCAATGGCCCTCCCCTGCTCATTTCTACAGATGGGGAAAACAAGGCTTAGGGGGGTTAGGTCACTCCCTGGGGCACCCAGCCACTAGTGAGCAGCACAGCCGGGAGGGGGGCCTCGCCTCACTCGCCACCCCCAGTATTAGGTTGTTAAAAGGAGCTTTGCCTTTCTCTCCCAAGATGCGCTGCTGCTCTCTCAGTTTCTTCTCTGCCTCCAGTTTCTCAATGACCTTTGGGCACAAACACAAAACACAGCGGGGGGCCACTGTCAGTCCCTCCCCACAGGTTCACCCCCAACCAGCCTGGCTGGCCCCAGAGTCACGCGGCTCTTCTGGGGCCAGGGCCTCTAGAGGAACCAACCCCGCCTCTTGCCCACCTGGTAGTGGATGGTGGGCCAAAAGTGCCCATCTTCCTTCTGGTAGCAGCCGGGGGTGCCGCCTCTGTCTCCTACCCTGGGCAGCAGCAGGGGAAGCAGGCGGCAAGTGGGATATAGAGTCAGAAAAACTGGCTTGGCTTCCCAGCTCTGACACTCTTCATGTCACAAAGGTTCTGACAAGCTAGACAAGCTGTTATCTTTCTCTGAGCCTCAATGTGCTCATCGATAAAATGGAGGCAATTACCCTGCCTTGCATGGCCCAGGGAAGGGGACGTAAACCTTGGAGCCTCTAGAAAGCTAAGCCACTGCTATCTTTGGGGACACAGCTAAAGCAGTCCTCAGGGAGAAAAAAATCACATCCTTAAAACTGTATGTTAGCAAAATAGAAAAACAAGATTAATAACTGAATACGCATTTAAAATGAGAAAATAAACCTAAAATAAGCACAAAAGAGGAGATATTAAAAAGTAGAGAGGAAATAGATAAATTGAAAACCAAAAAAAAAAACACCACAGAAATGAGTAATAAAACTAAAAGCTGGTTATTTGAAAAGACCAATAAAAATTGATAAACTCTTAGCTAATCTGATTAAAAAGACGAGAGCAGAAAATCAAATCAATGAAACACCAAATGAGCAAGGTTAAATCACAGCAAAACCGGAAGAAATAAAAAGAATACTTAGAACATACTATGCACAGCTATATGCCAACAAAACCAAGAACACAAATGAAAGAGGAAAACCTTCAAAAATATAAACTACCCAAACTATAAGAAGAGCACACAGAGAGTTTAAATAACCCAACCTCAGAAAAGGAAATAGATCTAGTTGTAAAGGAACTACCAAATTAAAACAAAACAAACAAACAAAAAACCACAACTCCTGGTCCTGATGGATTCGTAAGAATTGCATAAAACTTTTAAAGAACAAATAATGCTTGTATTTTTACAAATTATTCTCAAAAACTGAGAAAGAAATCACCCCACTAGATTCCTTTTATTAGACAAATATAGTCTTAATACTTAAACCAGGAAAAGATCAAAACACAGAAAGAAAACCACAGGCCAACAGAATTAATGAACATTGACTTGAAAAATTTTAAGATAAAATCCTATTAAACAGACCAAGAAATAATTCATTATGATCAAGTGGGATTTATAGCAGGAATGCAGGAATGATTCAATATTTGGAAAACAATCAACATAACTAATCATATTAGAAGACTAGACATAGGAAAACCACATGATCATCTCAACAGATGTAGAAAAAGCCTTTGACAAAGTACAACACTCTTTTATGCTAAAAGCTCTACAATGTAGGGCATAGAAGGACCTTTAAAATATATATATATATATATAGAAAGCATCAGTCTAAAACCAAAAGAAAGCAGCATATGCAATGGAAATACACTAAAACTTTTTCAATAAACATGGGAGTAAAGCAAGGAAGCCCAACCTCTCCACTATCGTTTGATAGAGTTCTAGAAATGCTAGCAATAGCAATAAGATACGTGGAATTAAAGGAATAAAGAAAGGCAAAGAAGAGACAAAACTATCCCTGTTTGCCGATGACATGACGGTCTATGTGGAGAGTCCCAGGGAATCAGCAAAGATACTAACTGAGCAATGAATAGCTTCAGCAAAGTTGCAGGCTACAAAATAAACCCTCAAAATATAATTTCCATATAATAAAAACAAGATACAAGAAACAATAATAGAAAGGGAAATCCCATTCCAAATAATTACAAAATACATAAAATATCTGGGGATCAACTGCCCAAAGCACACAAAAGACGTATAGAATCGAAAACAAAGCGCTGCTTAAGGAAATAAGGAATAACCTAAAGAGGATTTGTTCGGTAAAACTTGGACTCAGTCAAAAGGACCTAGAAGGCCTTGAGGCCACAGGTTCCCCACTCCTGAAAAGAGCTGGAGAAATATTCTTCACTTACGGCTAGGCTGTGCCAATATAATAAAAATGACAATACTACCAAAATTAATTTACACCTAATGCTATACCAATCAAATTACCAAAGGGATATTTTATAAAATTTGATAAAATAACAAAATTCATTAAAAAAAGATTTAGAATATCCAGGGGAATGATGAAAAGGAGTGAGAAGAATGGGGAAATAGCATTTCCAGACCTCAAACTATATTATAAAGCAGCAGTTATCAAAACTATTTGGCATCGGTTAAAAAATAAAGATAGATGAATGGAGCAGACTAGATAAGAGAGATTCAGAAACAATAGAATTCAATAATCCAGTGTTGATAAAGTGGAAACTATCAATTACCTAAAAAAAAACTCCTTTTGATTAAAAGAAAAACAGAAAAGAACCTTTTGGGAAAACTGAAAAGCAGCCTGGCAGAAATTAGGCTTAGACCAACATCTTTTACCACACTCCAAAATAACAATGGATACATGACCTTACTATAAAAAAAGCAGAAGAGGGCAGCTAGGTGGCACAGTGGATAGAATACCGGCCCTGGGGTCAGGAGGACCTGAGTTCAAATCCGGCCTCAGACACATAACACTCACTAGCTGTGTGACTCTGGGCAAGTCACTTAACCCCAATTGCCTCGCAAAAAAAAAAAAAAAAAAAAGACAACTCAATGTATTGATCGGGGAGGAGAGGAGGGAAGGAAGGAACGAAGGAGGCACGCACCATGTGCCAGGCACTGCACTGAGCACTTTACAAATATTATCTCATTTCATCTCACAGCTGCCCTGGGGAGGGGGCTACTACGTAGGAGGTCATGTAAGGGGACCAAGTGTCCCTAAGCTGGGGTCATGGTCACACTAGCGACTCAGTGTGGGTCTTCAGTCTGGCAGTCCAGCACACTTTGCCATGACCCCACATTGTCATGAAAGCTGAACTGCCAGAGAAGAAGAAGGGGTAGCCAGACCTTGAGGACAGCCTGGACACAAGGGCCAGCTGAGACAGTTGTGTTTTCCGTGGCTGCGTGGCCACAGCTCCTGTCTCCTTCCTGATTTCTGCCCTCGTCCAACACCTCTTCCGGGCATAGACCTGCCCTGAGAGCCTAAGGGCTATGCCCATGGACTGTCACTGTCAAGCTAGGACCAGCTGGGCCAACTTGGGAGCAGCTCATTACTAGAAGCCTCACCATCCAGGAGGGATGCATTCTGTCCACAGCAACCCATGAAACTGTCTACAGAGGTGTGCAGGGCGTGAGGTTCCGAACCCGTGCCCTGAAGTGTGCTGGTGTCACCACTCGGCCCAGCATCCATAGCGCCCTGAGATGCAGGGTGGGTTCAGACAATTTGGAGCTGGAGGTGTCCTCAAAGGCCATCTGGAGCCACTCTCGTTTTACAGATGAGGAAAGGGAGGCCCAAAGAGGTGAGAGACCCATCCCCTCAAAGTGCCCCAACCCATCAGCTAGCTCAGGTCCTGCTGGTTAAAAAGTCCCATCCCTCACTGAAATCTTCCCTCCTCTGCTTCCCCACACGCGGAGCTGGACAGCCACGGAGATGACCCTTGCTTCTCGGGCTGCCAGCTCTGGCCAGGCCAGGCCAGGCCAGCACAGGCCTGCCGACGGCCTGGGTCTGTCCTCTGAGGTCCAGCCTAGCTAAGGGAAGAAGGGCTCATTGCCAGAGGCCTGGCACGTGGTTCCAGACACAGGAACTGAGGAAGCCATTCTCCTCAGGGCTAAAGGAAGGGCCAGGGGAAAACCTCTGGCCTCACTGCTCACAGGGAACTCTAAGTGGAGGAGAGTCCCTTCACCAGTACAGGTTGGCACCTAGTGGCCTAGAGCAGTGCTTCTTAAACTGGGCAACAGCAAACGGTTTCTGAGTACGCAATGACCAAAAATTAATCCAAAATGAAGCACGAAATGCATCCAAGGGGCTTCTGACAGCATTTGTCCGGGCTGCACCGGGCAACTTCACTGCAGCCTTGGTTCTGAACACACAACAGACACACTTTGCAATGCGCACGTCCTCCGGCCACACGATGCCCAACCGCCCAACCAGGGCTGCCAAAGGTGAAAAGAGGTCAAGAGCGGAAAGGTCCAAGAAACCCCAGCCTACAGCACTCAGGGGTTCAGTCACTCGCCCAGGGCTGGTAGGGTCTAACCCAGGTCTTCCCACGTGCAATGATGCCACGCTGCTTCTAAGAAAAAGGGGACAGAGCCGGTACCAGGGCAGGCGACGCCCAAAGGGATGCTTAAAGAAGCCCCTCTCCCCTCCTCAGAGGCTCCCCCCTCCCTCCCAGCCCCGCCCTCACCAGGACGTTGCTGTAAATGCTGGTCGTGTACAGTCTGGTCTTCAGGTCTATCTGGGAGATCTTTCTATTCAGCTGGTCCATGGAGCCCATGAGGCACACTGGGAGATGCGTCTGTTAAAGAGCCTCTTGGCACTGGAGAGAGCCGGGGCCCCTTCCATGGGATTCAGAGAAGAAGGAGCCTCCCTCAGACCCAGCCTAATCCAACCCCCTTATTCTGCAGATGAGGACCCTGAGGCCCAGAGAGGGAAAGGGACCTGCCCAAGGCCTCACAGCTAGGGAGCATGTGACAGGCCCTATTTCCTGAATCCAGGAGACTGAGGTCCAGAGAAGGAAAGGGCCTGTCACACAGCTAAGCCCTATCTCCTGAGTGTCCATACTCAGCTCTAGCCCCCTGGCCTAGCCTGGGGGAAGCCTCATCTTCCTCCAACAGTTTGTTATCTGGCCTTTGAAAATATGGGCCTTCTTGTCCTTCACCACCTTTGCGGATTTGACAGGCCAGAGAGAATGGAAAGGGAAAAGAGAAGCAGGGTCCAGTCCACCGGTGAGGTAGCAGATGGAGGGGATAAGTTTGGCCATCACTGGCTGAGAGGGGAGGGGCTGGCAGGAAGGCCGGCCATGGGCACAGTGCCCCGAGCAGTCACCAGAGAGCTGGGACCCCGTGCCAGGGGGTGGTATGACCAGAGGCCGGCTCCTGGCCTCCCCAGACTCAGTGTGCTCACCTCCAGAGTGGACATAACAGGCCTCGTAGGTGGGATGAGCTCCACCTGAGCTGGGAGGGAGGAGAGACCATGGGCAAAGCACCTTGAGAGCCTGAAGGGCCACTGATGTGTGAGCTTCCACACCTGCCTCTCCCATCTGGCAGGACTCCACAGGAAAGGTCTAAGAGGCTAACACTGGGCCAGTCACCCTGTCTAAGGAGGTGGGAGCTGGAGAGGAGAGAAGAGAGTCTGGGGGAGTCTCTGAGGAGACAGGCCCAGAGACCCAGCTGGGGAGCAGCCCTCAGAAGATGGCAGAGCTAAGCTGGTGGGCCTTCTCAGAGGCGGCAAAGCAGGAAGGGATCCCTCACTTGTTGCACGAGGAGAATTACCACACAGTGTGTGATGGCGGACCTGGCCCCAGAGCCCAGGCCTCTGGCCTCCCTACTCCAGGGCATCTTCCCACAGACTGAGCTGATGACCCCTTGGGTCCCTTCTCATTCTGGGGAGCCCAGAAGGGAGAGGAGGGAGGGGAGGCAGTAAAGGCCGAGCGCCTGCTGTCCTCGTCTGGGGTCTGGCTCTGCGGCCCAAGGCAGGTGACATCACCAGAAGATACGGGGAGGGTTCTGTTTCACTCTCATCTTCAGCTCTTCATGCTGGATGCACCTCTGCTTGGATGAAGTCGCCAGGTCATCGTCCAGGGGGACCATGGGGATGGCGTTGAAGTTGATGAGCTCCAGCATTCCCGTGCTGAGCGGCATCCCTGCTTCTGCACGCGGACAGAAAGTTTCTGTAAAGATCAAACAAACAAACAAAAAGCCTGCCTCCCCCTGCACCGTGTTCTCTGATCCACCAGCTGACAGGAGTCACAAATAACTCAGGACCATCTGGGAAAACCAGAGGGTGGGAAAGACCAACCAAGACCCATCTGCTCAGGAGAAACAAGGCGAATTCCTCAGACAAAGGACCCAGCAGATGTTAAATGAGCAAGGCCACTTTGGCGGGAGCCCCCCAACATCATTATTTCAAGACTGACAATGCCCCTGCACGGCCAGCCTAGTGGGGTCTGGGTTCAAGGCCTCTTACAAGCAATGTGCTTCCTCATCTGCACAGTGGGGATAAGATTGGCTTTGTAAACTAGTTGTAAAGCCCTGCAGAAATAATAATCACTACTAATCATCACAGCCAGCATTTATACAGTGCCTACTACACGCCAGGCACTGAGCTAAGCCCTAGGAGAAGCCATGACTACGAGGTGCGATTACTGGAGTTTTCAGGGCCAGAGGTCGAGACCCAGACCGGGCCACGGCGGGCCTGGCTTCACATCAGACTGACCTGGTGTCGCGTGTCTTCTCTCGCAGGCTATGGGGCAGTTCCACGGGGCTCAGGCACTCTGGCTTCAGGCGCAAGGGATAGCTAACAGCATCCCACAGGGACTCACTCTGGAGAGCCCGGCATGAGGTGCTCTGTCCTCTGACTGGGAAAAGAGCCAGGAGACACAAGCTTGGATCCCAGAGCCAGCTCGGCTGGCTCAGTGATCCCAGAGCCAGCTCGGCTGGCTCAGTGATCCCAGACAAGCCCCTTCCTCGCTCTGGGCCTCCATTTCCTATTCTGTATGATGGGGATATTAGGCCAGGAGATCTCTAAGATTCCTTCAAGTTCAGAAAATATGAAAAAGGAGAAAAAGATGAAAGGAGGCAGCGAGATGTCAAAACTATGGCCTGTCTCTTCTCCCCTGGCTCTAAGACAACAGGGCTTAGTTTGCAGAAAAGAACCAGATTTGGAATCAGAAGTGGATTTGAATTCCCTGATAAGTCTATGCATCATTGTGGGACCTGAGGCAAATGACTTCAGCTTGGAGAGCCTCAGTCTCCCCATCTGTAAAATGGAGCAGTTGGGCTGGAGAGGGCAGACCAGGGCTTTTAACCTTTTCTGGGGACAGTCCATCTGAGGAAACCTGTGCACCGCTCCTCAGAATCATGCTTTTAATGCGTGAGATTAGAAAAGAAAGCCAAGGTCAGTGAGACTCAAGATGGAACTGTTCTCTCGTCCAAGTTCATGCAAATGCCAGGAGGTCAAGCACCTTGGTCCAGCTCGGTCCTGCGGCTCCTCATTCTCAGGTTGGGAGGGGGGTGTGGCTGTCTGTCTGCAGGCCACTCACTACCTACACAAATGGATTGCCCAGAACGCAGTGCCTCTCCACGACTCCCGACTTTTCTCTGAGGCAGCGAAACAAGAATGAGGAGGTAGGGCTGGTCATGAAAACACCGTAGCACAAATTCAAAATCCAAATACACGTCAAATCACTCTCTCTTATTATATAAAAATGACAACAAGCAAAACAAGCTGATTTATGCAAACTGTGCATTTGAGGGTCCTGTGGCTTCATTTCCCAGGAGCAGCAGATATAGAATTGGAAGGACCCTGAGCGTGCACAATGAGTGTCACATGTTTGAGGAGGGTCAACATGGGAGTCAACTCTGACCAGGCAGTTGTTACAAGGACTTTGTTTTTTATTTTTTCCGCTGGGGGGCCTGGAGGCAGGGGGCTGGTCAAAAAGGAGAGAGACAGACAGACAGACACAGAGACAAAGAGAGACAGAGACAAAGAGAGACAGAGAGATAGAGAGAGAGACAGAGAGAGCGAGAGAAAGAGAAAAACAGAGAGACAGAGAAAAAGAAAAACAGAGAGACAGAGAAAGAGAGAACCAGAGGGCTATTGAAACATTATTTTTTATTTATTTTAAATGCACAGCAGAGAAGGCCAGAAATAACCTGAGCCAAGCAGGCCGGCTTTGATGGGAACATGTGGGATTTATTAGATAGAGAATTGTGGCATAAATCACCCGGCTTTGCTCGTTGTCATTTTTATATAACAAGGCGCTGATTTTCTGTGCATCCAGATGGATTTGTAATTTGTGCTGTTACGTTTGATCACTGCCCCACCTATAAAGTTAATGGAAAAGCAAGCCGTCCAGAAGAGAAATCCCCGGCTTCAGGTACAATCCTCCTCTTATGTTCTACTCTGTATAGAGAAATGCCCATTTTACTTGGTGTTTAAGTTCTGATAAAAAAAAAGTGTGTGTGTGTGTGTGTGTATTAAAGGGAGGGCCCATAGACAGCAATTCTTTCATTTTATATATGAGGAAACTGAGGCCGAGTGAGTGGTGGGGACTTGCCCAGAGTCCTGAGGGTTAACTGAAGGCAACAGCAAGGCCAGCCCCCATCTCCCAACTCCCGACTCCCCACTCAACCCTGCATGCCCCCTTCTAAAGGCCCTCCTAACCAGGGTCCATCACGCCACGGAAACCAAACACCTCCCAGCACACCTCAGCCATGCCTCTTCTGTTGAGATAAGGCTCACACGTTAAGGACCCTGCTTCCATCAGCACAGATGCCCCCAGACCCCCTCCGGGTGCACCTCAGGAGGGAGTCTGTGCCCCAAGGAAGGCAATCAGGATGGGGAAGAGCTTCAAGCCTACACTCTGTAAAGATGGACTGAAGGAGCTAGGGAAGACTGGGGGTATTGGCAGCTGCCTTTGAGGCTCTGAAGGGCTGTCACTGGAGAAGGGACAAGACTTGTCCCCCCAGAGGACAGACACAGGGGCCACAGCGGGGACGTGGCCAAGAAGAAGCCCTTCTCTCCATAAGATCTGCCCAAGACGGCATCGGCGGCCAACAGAGGGGTTGGGCTCCCCTTCCCTGTGGGTCTGCCGGCAGAGGCTGCCAATCCCCGACACGTACAGCACAGTGGGGGACCCCATCTGCCTCCCAGCCCCCAAATTCCGTGCTTCTGGGGTTGAGCCCCTGGTGGTCTATCACCTTGTGATGAGTCTAGACTGGCCCTCCCAGGGCACAGTCCACCCCCGGGCCTGCCCTGGAAGCTGTCCCCACAGACGTGGTGGAAGATGCTGGGCTAGCTTCCCCTCCAGTGGCCCAGCCCCACTACGGAAAGCCCCCCCACTACAGAGAGCCCCCCACGAGGAGTCAGGGAGAGGCCATGACACAGACACAGACAATCCTCCTCATGGACGATTCCTGCTGTGTTTCTGAACAGAACCAACCAGTTCCAAGGGACCTTCGAGAACCTCACGTCCAAGCCCTTCTTCTGACAGCTGGGGAAACTGAGGCCCCGAGAAAGGATTTGCCCACAAGTCCCCAAGCTCTCCCGAGGCATGGCTGGGACATTCTCGGTTCCCTCGCCCCTTCCTTTGCTCATCTCTCCTTTCCTTTCATCACAGTCATTTCCTAAAGACTGCGGGTGGGCTGACGCACAGCCCCTGACCTGTCAGGAGTCACAGCTGGGCTGTGCGGAGAAGCTTCTTCTGGGGGGCTGAGTTGACTTGGTATCATTCACACCCTCTGGTTGTTATTCATGTGCTATTTATCCATTCACTCATTCACTCACTCACTCATTCATTCATACATTCCACCGCCAGGCCTACTGCGTGCTGACCCAGGCTAGCCCCTAGGAATACAGAGACACAGAACCACGGGGTCTGTGCCTTCGGTCCACAACATTTGTTTCTTCTGGGCTTCCCAGGGCCTGACTCTGGGGACACAGAGACCAGTCCTTTCTGCCCTAAACCACTGAGGGTGGAGATGGTAGGAGATGTCATCTTCCATTCCACGGGGTGTGAACTAGCCAAGGAGGGGTCAGTACAGGAAGGGGCTCCTGGGCTGGGCCTGGAATCCAAGGGTCCAAACGGGATGTTTGTAGAGCATTTAGTGCAGCGTGGGGGTACACAGTAGGTGCTTAATAAATGCCCATTCCCTCACACTCAGACTCTGGTTCACCCTCTGCCACTTACTATTAACCAACCAACCAGTTTGTCCCAAGCCAAACTGACCAGTCCTGCGGCCTTGGGCACCGATTCTCACCTTACCTCCTGCTGTCAGAACACAAGGCTGTGCACCTTCAAGCACCAGTCAACAAACATTTAGTAAGCACCTACTGTATGCTGAGGCTGGAGTCCACTTGTTCAAGGAGCCCTTACAAAGGGCCTACTGTGGGCTCCCTCAGCGAGGGAGGGAATAAGCATATATTAAGCACCTACTGTGTGTCAGGCATCTTTACAAACCTCTCACTAGACCCTAGCAACTAGGAAGGGCCACAGAGGGTAGATGACTTGCCCAGGGCTACGCAGCTAATGAGTGGGGCAGGATTTGAATTCAGGTCTTCCTGGCCCCACTGCACCACCCAGCAGTAGGGTGGAACACATATACACAGTGTCTCCCACAGAGGGGGCACTGCTGGGCAGTTTCAAATGGGGGCAAAGGTGCGGAGGCGGGAGATGAACGAAGTAGGGCAGCGCCCCAGGGTGGCCAGCAGGGACTGGCTTTAAAAGTCAGCCCCGACCTCGTCCAAACTACTAAGCTTCTCCGGGCCTCTGGTTCACGCGCCGTAAAATGGGGGCAAAGACGCGTATGGGGGCGGAGGGGAGATGAGCCGTAAAGCGCGGCGCTGTCGTGAAAGGCGGGACCGTTAGCCATTACCTGAGCTGGGGCGCTACCTGCTCTAAGGCCGATCCCGCCAAGGATCCCTCGAGGACCGGGTGGACACACCGCAGGACGCCTCGGAGCCGAGAGATGGGGCCCCATTGGGGTGGGGCCGCCTGGACCGATGTCCATCGTGGCTCCGGCCCACTGTGCGTTCTGACGTTCCCATAGCGACCCCGCTATTGGCCCTTCGCGGCCTCCGTCCTCCCCAAGGAAAGCCGCAGTCCTAGATGTTTGTGCGTGCGCGCACGCGCTCAAGCCCGCCTGGGAACGCCGCGACGCCGTTACTATGGCGACCTCGGGCCGCCCCTCGGGGAGCCGCTATTGTTGGCATGGGGACGAGAGCAATGGGCGTAGGGGGCGCAGGGGAGAACGTGACATTTTCCCGTTTCCCGGTTTATATAAGGGAGCCTATCCGAGCTGACCCTCGTGGTTTCGCTCCAAGAAGGTCAGAGGAATCCGACGGCAGTTGGAGCGGATGCGTCCTCTCTCTGACAAACTCCCGCCTCCCCAGCAATCTGCCCTCCACCCCCGCTGCCAGGCTGTGGTAGAGCCCGAGGCGGCGCTGCGCATGCGCCACCTGGTCGTTGGTCTGCGCAACTTTCGGCCGGGCGCAGGCGGAACCCCCAGGTACGTGCGTTCTCTTATCTGGGCCTGGGTCCCTTTCTGTTTGTGTACGAGTGGTCCGCTCCAGGAGACAGACAGCGCCCCACTTGGGCCAGGCAAACCGCAGGCGCCTAATCAGTGCATGGGGAGTGATGGGTTTTCATGAACCTGTTTCCGTACGTGTTGTCTCGATAGAATGTAAGCTTCCTGAGGGCAAGGTATCTTTGTCAGGACGTTCCCAGCGCTCCAGCCCGGGCCAGGCACACAGTAGGCACCTAACACTTGCGCGCGGGCTCCCCCGGTAGGGAATCAGCTCTTTCAGGGGAGGCTTGTCCGTGTCTGGGCATCCCCAGTACCCCGCAGAGAGACCAGGCACACAGCAGGTGCTTAATATTCATATTTTAAATGACTGGCAGGTTTGTATATATGCAGGGGGTAGAGCGCTGGGCTGGAATCAGGAAGAATTGAGTTCAAATCCAGCCTGGGACACTTCCTAGCTGTGTAACTCTGGGCAAGTCACTTCACCTCCGTCTGCCTCACTTTCCCCATCTGTCATATGGGAATAATAGTGTCACCTACCCCCCAGAGTTGTTGTGAGGATCAGATGCACTTGGCACAGTGCCTGGCCCTGAATGTTGTTATGTGCATCTGTGTTGTCTCTCCTCCAGAGAAGGGATGCTTCTTGAAGGCAGGGGCTGTGTCGATGTTTGCCCCTGTCTCCCTAGCTCCCTTAGGAGCATAATAAATCCTTGGTGAATACCTGGCTTAGCTCAGGGCTGTTTACTAATGACTCAGCTGTATTAGTGCCTTAGAGTCGAGGAGGGGCTGTCTCTTCTTTCTTCCGTGGGGTTGGCAGCACAGGCATTGGGGCCGTTCATGCAACTTCAGAGAGGGGAAGTGATTTGCCCAGGGCCACACAGTCCGAGCTGAGAGGCAGTCAGGGGCTGGAGGATGGAGTGCCATACATCAGTCAGGAAGGCTTGGGGTTTGAATCCTGCCCCAGCCCCTTCCTAGCTGGCTGACCCTGGGCAGTCACTTCACCTCAGTTTCCTCATCTGTAACTCGGCACTGGCAGTTTGGACTTCATGGTCGCTAAGGCCCCTCCAGATCCAAAGCTGTGGTTCTCTTGATCCTGTATCCGGAAGGATTTTCCTGACCTCACGCGCCTTCAGGCGGTGCTTCTGCCCGTCCCCCTCTAGCTGGGGTTTGCACTGCCTCTTTGTACAGTGCCCTCCTTGCCCGTGGTTGGCATGTGCTGAATGTGTGTAGATGTGCTGATCAGTAACATAGAGCAGTGATGCCATCACTGATATTTACACGGCGCCTGCCATTGTGGCTTTTGATATCGGCCTTTGGACCCTCACGACAAGCCGGTGGTAAATGAGGTAGATCTCTTCTTGGAGGACCCCACCCCCAGCCCGAACTGTCACATCCAGACCTCGATTGAGAAGCTTTGGTGCTTTGTCAAGGCCATCAGCTCCTTGATGCACACTTAGAAGGTGAAGGTTAAGTGGGTCCAGGGAGAATTTGGGTGATGATTCCTTTCTCATGCCCACTTATACTTAAATGTTCCTGGTAGCATTCTTCGATGGCACAATACATAGTAGAGTCATTATTATTACCAGTAATTAAAATGGAGGCAGTAGATGAGCTGGGAGAGGAAGGTGCTTTGTAAAGCAAGCCCAGCCGCCTGGTGAGGGCAGGGTTGGGGGCTGCTTTACGTACATTGGGCTGCTGAGTGTTGGGGAAATATTCCATCTCATGGCCTTGAGGTAACAGCCAGAACACAGGATGTAGAGCTCACGGGCCTGGGCTCAAATTCCAGACATGCTGCTCACTACCTGTGTGACCTAAGGCAAGGCAACCTTTCTGGGCTTTGGTTTCCTCATTTGTAAACTGAAGTCCCTTCTGGCTCTCAGTCCTCCTGGGCTTTTCACTGTTGGGGCTGCCTCTGAATAACCCTCAAATGATCCTGTGGGGTTCATCATCAAAGCCTTTTAATCACTATCTTTGTCGATGAGGAAACTGAGGCACAGATAAGGGGAGTGACTTTGGCCCTGTTCTTCCATCTCAGTATCCTGTGCTCTTTTCCTTTTCTCTGCCATTTTCTCAGCCAATTAACTCAGTAAGTCCAGGGATGGATATTCCTATCCCCAGAATTGGCACACCCTTCCTGCATGCCTGCTGTTGGGATATGGAGATAATTAATAAAGGAATGACATTCGGCTGCATGCCATTTGCATTCCCGGATGGGACTTAAACAGAATAGAAAAAAGCATCTCTTGGTGAGAGAAGTGGCAATCAGGGGCTCTGGGCAGCGCATCCGTGGGACCTGGGCCCATAGAAGTCACCTGACCTCTCCCTGCTCTCCTCCCTCGGCTCTAGGAGAAGGCGGAGCTGTACTGGGAGCCCACCGGAGATGCCCCTCTTTGGGAATACGTTCAGCCCCAAGAAGACGCCCCCTCGGAAGTCTGCCTCTCTTTCCAATCTGCACTCTGTGAGTGTGTGTGTGGAGGGGGGGTGGACAGGACTCCCCCGGCTAGACTAGGAGGAGTCACCACAAAGATATGGGGTAGACGTGTCCTGCCAGGCAGGCCCAGGAGGGCTGAGGCGGCCTCGTTCTAATAAGGGATCCTTGCTCAGAGGTCTTGGAGGCTTCCTTCGAAGGGCACTGTCTTTAGAGCCCATTTGTCATATCAGAAAATTGGCCTCATTGCTGCACGGTCACAGCTGGTTAATGGAAAAAAAAAACCAAACCCAATATTTGTTACCCGGCTTCATCACTTCCTTTCCTCCCCAGACTTGGTACCAAATGGCTTTGACAGTTTCAGAAAATCAAACTCGCTTTGGGGAAAGGATCAGGATTCGCCACCATGACAGATCTCCAGAATAGCATGTTCCAGGACCTTGATGTATTTCAGAGATGATCTGAGCTGTGGCATCTTCACTGGGACAAGCCGAGGAGCCCTCTCCCAGCCCCCAGGGGTTGCATTTGGACGGCAGGGATAGCGGCGGGAGCCTGGGATTTCACTGGTGGAGGTGTGGGCGGCCAACGGTCAGAAAGTCGCCTTGGGCGTGGAGAGGTTACCAAGTCACTCAAGGTCACTCAGCCCACACGTGTCAGAAGTGGCATTTGAGCCTAGGTCTTGCCAGCTTTGAGGCTGGTTCCCCATCCACCACCCCATACTGCGCCGTCACGTAACCATAGTCCTGATTGGTAGAAATGCTCCCAATCATCACTAAGGTCCCTTTGAACTGTTAAGATTCTGTGAAAAAACAGGTTGGGTTTTTTCATTTAATAAGCATTTATTTTCTCTCCCTCCAAGGGAAAAAAAGAAAAAGAAAGAAAGGCCTTGTCACAAACACGCCCAGTCAAGCCGAGCCAGATCTGGCACTGGCCATATCCAGGCGGGAACGTCTGGGGTCTGTCCCTGCTGGGTCAGGAGTGGAGCAGTGGGCTTCTTCCCTGCTCCCTCCATTCCTCAGAGTTCCCAGGCCTAAAATCAGTTCTCACCTGTTTTAAGTTTAGAGAAGGAAAAAGGACCACGAGGAGGAGGAAATGCTCTGAGGACAAAGGTCATGTCAGTCAGTGAAGGTCACAGGGTAGGACAGCAGGGCAAACTCCTCCTTTGCCCCCAAGTCATGCTTCTTATCCGTGGCAGAGCCAGTGACTCCAGACCCCGACCAGTGTCCTATCTGCCTCTCCGTCCGGCATCCAGCAGCCTCCGGAGAAGGGCAGTCATTCTCCCAACATCACGTGAATGAGATTATAGAATCACATCACTGGCAAAGACCTCTGAGGTCATTCAGTTCAACATATTCTCAAACTGGAATTCCTTCTACGACATCACCAGTAAATATCCATCTGGGCCGCAGGAAACTAAGAGGTAGCTGGTGGTGCCAGAGTGCCGGGCCTCGAGTCAGGAGGACCTGAGTTTAAATCTGGCCTCAGCCACTTACTAGCTGGGGGACCCTGGGAAAGTGCCCAAACCTCTCTCTACCAAAGTTTCTTCATCTGTGAAATGGGCATAATAATAGCACCTACTTCCCAGTGTTATTGTAAGGATTAGTGACTGTGGTAAAGCTCTCTGCAAACCTTAACACACCACATGAAGCCTAACTGTTATTACCTCACTCCCTTCCAAGGTGGCCCATCCTGTTGTTCCAGCGTAAGGAAGTTCCCCGAAATCTACCGCATCGTTTCCATTCATTGCTTGTAGACATAGACACAGACAGTCAGTGCAATCCCTCTTCTGCTTGGCAAAGGTAGATGGCCTAAAATTTCCCTCCCCATCCCAGAACACACACACCCACCGGGGTCCCCTGGGCTAGCCAAGGGCAGAGAATAATGGGAAATCTACTTGTCCCAACCCTTTTCCTAATGAAGAAAGTTGTCGTTTGTCCTTTGTTCCTAAAGAGGACCATGACGTTAGGGAGATGATGCCTTGACTTGCAAGTGAATTGGATTGAAGTGAGGGAGGGCTGTGCAAAGTCCCCAGCCCCGCCGCAAGATGTAGACCAGCATGACTGGAGGTGGCCCCAGATGCAGTGGGAGACCTTGGCCTTTTTAAACTAAGGTCTTTAACAGGTCTCAGTTTGTCTGAGGCTACACCCATTTGACGATTAAGGCTAGGTAAGAAATGACCCAAGAGTTTTTGGCCAAAACAGAAACAATCGCTATTTACGTTCACTCTGAGCCATCAGGGCCCAAACGGTGACCAAGCAGGGCTTGGTCTGGGACCTATTGTTGGCCAGTCCCAGTCTATGAGAGCCCAAGTGATTTGGGTTTAAGACATGGTCCTTTAGGAGGAAATTGAACTGTAAACCCCAATATATATTGGGAGGTTTCAGCAATCACAATTTAGATTCCTGTAGGCAGAGCACCTGCAGGTAAGAGTACGATACCCTCTGTGGACCAAGAGAGGGAAAGGGAAGGGAAGGGCGAAAGAAGAGGAGCTGCATTGCCCCACTGGAAATGAGGAATGTGAGGCTTTGACAAAGGAAATTCTTTGTCCGCAGTTGACGTGGCTGACAGAAGAGCTATTCCTTTGATCACTAACCCTGTGACTCTGGGGACGTCATTAACGGTCTCTGAGCCTCAGTGTCATCCCCTGAGAACAGGGGCGACAATTCTCGACCCGCTTACATCTCCGTATTGTGAGGACAAAACCGGGTCTTGTGCATGAAGGGAAGGTGGCAGAGGTGGCGGCTGGGCGTTGTTTTCTGGGCCTAGCGTGCGGGAGGCCGCCACAGCCTTCCAAAGACGACGGGAGCCCCATCCCGTCTGTGGGGTACTTCACAATTACATAGCACTCTCCCACACGTGATTTCATTGGGTCATCAGAACAACTCTGAGACAGGCAGAGATCATTAGCCCCATTTTTTTTTTTAGGCAGTTGGGGTTAAGTGACTTGCCCAGGGTCACACAGCTAGTAAGTGTCAAGTGTTTGTTCCGAGGCCGGATTTGAACTCGGGTCCTCCTGACTTCAGGGCTGGTGCTCTATCCACTGCGCTGCCTAGCTGCCCCATTAGCCCCATTTTTAAGTGAGGAAACTGAGGCCCAGGCTCACAAAGTACTGACCTCCCTCTTGGGCAGTCTTGTCGGGCCACCTGCTCTCCCATGGCGGTCTTGATGACGCACTCCTGGTGCACCGGGCTCGGGGCTCAGCCCTGAGCTGGGCTCTGCTGTCTTTGTCCCCCACAGCTGGACAGATCCACTCGGGAGGTCGAGCTGGGCTTAGACTATGGGACGCCGACCATGAACCTGGCTGGGCAGAGCCTCAAGTTTGAAAACGGCCAGTGGATAGCGGGTGAGACGCGCGGGCTGCATGCTGGGGCCCTTGCCTGGGGAGGGGGGCCCTCATGGCTTCTGCTGTTGCTCTCCCCCAGACTCAGGGGCCTGTGGAGGTGGGGACCGCAGGGAGGCCCAGCGGCTGCGGAAGAGGAACCAGCAGCTGGAAGAAGAGAATAACCTCCTGCGGCTCAAAGTGGACATCCTGCTGGACATGGTGAGGGGCCGGGCCTGCCGTGGTGGGGGTTGCTGTGGAGGATACGGTCCCTGCCCCTGCCGATGTCTGAGCCGGGCTGGTGCCTGTCCATTGGCCCCACGAGAATCCCCCCACCCCATCCCTGTTACTTTGTGGAGCCCCACTGGTGTCCCCCATTTCTGGTTTTGTTCCTGACATGGGCCTCTCAGGTGGTCTGAAAATCTCCCCATAGAGGCAGCTGCGTCTTTGGGCTGAACAAGTATCCCCATGTCGGGAGCCTGTCCCTTGGCTTCCAGATCCCTCAGATGAGTGACTCCTGATGTCTTCAGCTGTCAGGGCCAGCCATGCTGAGGCCCAGAATCCTCAGGTGATTATCTCCCACGTTCCTCCCAGCTCTCTGAGACCACGGCTGAGTCCCACCTCATGGAGAAGGAACTGGATGAATTGAAGAGCATTAGCCGGAGGAGGAAGTGATGTCACAGGCGCCAAGCCCCGGGGTCGGGTATCCAAGGTTCAGGGAAGAGGGAAGACTGGCCCTGGTGGACACGTCCTGTTGGTGGAGGACAGCAGCATGCAGGACTGGCTGGAGCCGTGCCTTTGGGCCAGGGGAGGATGGGGACTCAATCCAGAGCCCGGGGTTCTTGGGGTGATGTGGCGAAGCAGCCCCAGCCGGAGCTGACCCAATGGAGGGAAGAGCGGGCCCCTCCCCTGCCAAGGCACGTCGTGGCCTGAGGTCCGGTGCTGGCCTCTGGCCTGGTCTGTCCCTCTCCCAGATTAGTAGCGTGGCAGCTGCAGTGGTTCCTGCAGCCACCACCTCCTCTGGCTGCTCCCGGGCTGTGCGGTTTTTCTAGTTTTTACTATTTCCATTTTTATTAAAGGCGATGAAATCAGCCCCGTTGTGTCTCACGTGCTTCTGCCCCCGCAGCCTGGTTGTGGAGACTGGCTGTCTCTGTGCCTCGATGGCAGGTGGGACAGAGAATGAGGGAGGCCGCACAGTGGGTGCTCACGGTGCTTCTGATGAGGTCAGGGTATGACGTCTCTTAGGGGCCAATGTGGGGGGGAGAGGCTGTGGATCAAAGGCAAGGATGTGCCTTGCAGACTTTGAGGACAACATAAAGATGAGATGCCATCATTCCTGCTAGGGCTTCAAGCTTCCCTGTCGGCCCAGGGGAAGGGAAATGAGAGCCAGGAATACTGCTGACCAATTCTCACCAGCAGGCAGATAGACGCAGGAGGCCAGGAGTGGCAGCAGCCCCAGCCCAGGCCAGCCATCAGTCCTGCTTCCAGTGGTCATCTGCCGACGCACCTCCACTCCTAGGCAAGGCAAGCCGGCCTCACTGAAGCAGCAGGGCACCCTGGGGGAGAGTCCAACAAATCAGGCTACCGCCACCCTGACCATGTCCCCTCAGACTCTGATGGAGACAGCCCAGGAGCCTTGGGAACAGCTGTGCTAGCAGCTGGGTGCCCTCCGCCACCATCCTGGGGAGATACAGCCTGGGCACGGCTCCTTCCTGCAGGGGCTGTAGCCACGGCTCTGGAAGACACAGAAAGGAAAGTTCTTATCACCAAAGTCCTTGGCTCTGGCCAATGGTCCACCATCAGAAATATTTCAGTGGAAATATTTATAGCAATTCTCTTTGTGGGGGCAAAGAACTAGACGTTGCAGGGATGCCCATCAATTAGGGAATGGCTGAATAAGTTGTGGTATATGAATGTGATGAAATACTACTGTGCTGGAAGAAATGATGAGCTCGATGATCTTAAGAAAACATGAATAGACTTGTGTGATGTTTAAATAAAGGTTTGAGAGACAGAATTTCTGGGTAATAGAACCATTTTATGAATAAGGCCAGCATGTTTATTGATAAAAGGATGGTCGTTTGGCTGTCTCAGATCAAAGACCTCTCATGGCAGTGGACTCACAATTTATATGCCCATGGAAGAGTAGGTGTTCCTAAGGGTGGCAATCAACGCTGATTGGTTAACCATTAATGGAAAAGTAATATTACAACGAGGGTGTTGGGGTATGTGACTTGGATCATCCTAATCTTGGTCAAAGAGACATCAATTTCCATGTCACCTGTCTAACAAAAGGGAGGATCCACACTACCCCAGACCTGTCTGAGCAAACACAATGAGCAGGAATGCATCCAGTAGCCCAAACTTCGAATTTCTTTCACTCACTCATTAGATCTTGGACTGGGTAAATCTCTATCTGAGATTTCCCACACTGGTTGATTTCTGGATGAGGAAGTAGAAAGGAGGAAAAACGTTGGTCCTAATAGAATAATTATTAAATACAAAAGAGGATTTCTTACACTAGTCAAAAAATAGCAGAGCGCAATGAGTAGAATCAACAGAATAGTGTATACGGTAACAGCAATATTGTTTTAAGAACAACCGAGCAAATAAGTCATTTTGACTTTTATAAATGCCCAAATTAACTACAAAGGACATATGAGGGAAGGCGCTATCTGCATCCAGAGAAAGAACTGACAAGTAGATGTATGTATAGAATGATTTTGCATATGTAAGTGTGCATATGTATATACATTATATATATACTGTATATAGTATATACTATATATACATATACTATAATATAATATATACTATAAATACTATATATAAAAGTGTGTATATGTATATACATTATATATACTTTTATATATACATTATATATATATAATATATACTATACTGTATATATATATACACAATGCTCTATATACATACATACATACACACACATATTTGTGTCTAATAGTAGCCATCTCTAGGGTAGGGGAGGAGAGGAAAAAAAGAAATTTACATATTTAAAAGGAATAGCAAGTTGTACCTAATGCAGTTTCATATGCAATCTATTTTTTATTATACTGTTACAGAAATGCTTGTTTTATTCCACAAATTAAAAATTAGGTAAATAAAAATTTAGAAAAAGAAAGAAATGTATTAGTGGAAATGACATTGGAGACAAGGCCCAACCTCAGGACCATGGGGCCTTTCCACTGGACTTGCTGCTGAAACCTCCCCTGCGTGCTGTGGCTCCCATTAGAAGGTGAGCTCCCTGAGGGCAGGGGCTGTCTGGCTTCTCCAAGGGATAGTATCCCCAGCGCTTAGCACAGTGCATGCTTCATTGATGCCTGCCTTCCTTCCTAGAAAGGGGACCTACCCCTTGGATGGGTCGCTCTGTGGCTTACTCAGAGGTATGAGGTTATCACTGTTAAACCACCGGCCTTTTTTGCCTTTTGACACGACCTGTGCTTTTCCATCTGCTTGCTTCACTCTGCCCTGGCCGAGCGGACCGTGCGCTCCCTGCGGGCAGGCGCCCTGATGGAGGCTCCGTTCCCTTGCCCACAATCTGCCTTTATGACTCCCTGTCCCGCCCCGGTAGGAGGAAGCGCTTCGGTCCAACCCGCTTCAGGCCAGGCCCCATTGTGCGCCCCGTGGGCAGAGGCACCAAGGACAGCGCCTGCCCCCCCCCCCAGGGACGTCACGGTCGGGGGTCTCCTCAATGAGGGGGCAGGCCCTGCTGCGGCTCGGCTGCTTATCAAAGCCTTCCGGGAGTGGGCAACCTGCGGCCTCGGGGCCTCACGTGGCCCTCTAGGTCCTCGGGATTTGTTCTGTGAAGTTTGGATCCGGTCAAAGGGCCGCCCTTGAGGACCTGGAGGGCCACGTGAGGCCTCGAGGCCGCTACCCACCGCACTAGGGTGGAATTGACGCACCTTGAACCCAAAGGCCTCCGAGGAGTCCGTCCTCCCCCGTGGCCGCGCGGGGGCGCTGACGCTCCCACTCTCCCCGCCCCTCCCCTCCCCCCCGGCCGCTCTGCCCGCCCCTGGATCTCGCCTCCTCCCTTCCGCTTCCGGTCTCCCCTAGCGCCATGGCCGCCGCCTCGTCCGCCGCCTCTGTCGCCACTTCTGCCGTGTCTCCGTCGGGATCGGCGGGGTCGGCGGAGGAGTTGCTGCAGAAGAGCAACGCCGAGGAGGTCGAGGAGGAGCTGGAGGACGACGACGACGACGACGAGGTGCGGCCGGGGCCAGGCCGGGCGCCCCCGAGCTTGGGGGGGAGGCCGGGGAAGCGGGAGCGCGTGGGCCCCGGGGGGCGGGGCCGAAGCGCCCGGAGAGGACGCTCCGAGGTGACCCCGCCCCGCCCACTCTGCAGACGAGGAAACTGAGGCCTCCGGAGCGTGGCCGGGGAGCTGGACCCTCTGACTCCGAACACTTCGCCTTTTGCATGCAGCGAGGGGGCAGGGGGCAGAGGAGGGTGATGACAGGCCGAGGCTGATATTTGACAGATAAGGAAACTGAGGCCCAGTGGAGGAGGGCGGCTTAGGGCAAGGCCTCTGGGTGACCCAGTGAGCTAGGGGCAGAGGTGGGATTTGAACCCAGGACCAAGGCCCAGGAGATGCTCGAGGTCGGGAAGGGCCTCTCCCCGAGGCCCAGAGGGGGAGAGATTGGCCCAAGGTCACAGTGGTGTCGGAACTTGAATCCAGGGCTTCTGACGAGGCTGTGGTCTCAGAGTACCTGCACCGATCCCCTGGTAGTGTAGATTTGAGAGTCTCGGTGTGAGAGGCGGGACTGGAACCCAGCTCCCGTTCAGGGCCCGGCTGTGGTGGTGTTGTCGTCTCGCCCAGCCCCCCAAGGTGAGCTCCCCCAGGGCAGGAGGCCTGTGTTTGCCTTGGCGTCCTGAGAGACCAGTAACTGCTTGTGCATTATAGCTGTGCCTTGTGTCGTGTCACCAGCCTCTCGTCCCTAGGAGGAGGCTGATGAAATAGTAGAACCTCTCTAATGAGGGGGGCCGGGTCAGAGCCGTGAGCCTGGAGTCCGCAAGAGCTGAGTTCAAATCAACAAGTCACTTGACTTCTGCTTGCCTCAGTTTCCTCTTCTGTAACAGGGGGATAATACAGCGCCTCCCTCCCAGGGTTGTTGCAAGAATCCCATAAGATAATTGCAAAGTGCTGGTGCACATGGTAGCCACTATATAAATGCACATTCTTCTTGTTGTCAGGTAAGGGCCAGGGTCCCTTCCAGCTCTAAACCTGTGATCTGCGGTCTACTAGGGCTTGCTGGGAAGGGGAAGGAGGACAGCCAAGTCATCACAGCAGAGATCTGTAGCCAAAAGGGACGTCAGTGATTGATCCAAGCCCTTCCTTTTACAGAGGAGGAAACTGAGGCACAGAATAGCAGTTGACAGAGGTGACACGGGTCACCGAGATAGAACACGGCTGGTTTCCCTCGGTCCCTCTGATGCCAGCTTGTTGCTGGAGACCAGAGCCCCGCTGTGGTTTTCACCTCCTCCTTCAATTCTGCAGCTCGACGAGACCTTGGCCGAGAGACTGTGGGGCCTGACGGAGATGTTCCCTGAAAGCGTCCGGTCCGCCGCAGGAGCCACCTTTGACCTCTCCCTCACAGTGGCCCAGAAAATGTACAGGTGAGCTGCTGCCGGAAGCAAATCCCTTTCTGTCCGGTGCCACTGAGAAGTGAAGGGATTCGCCGTTGTTAGCCAAGATTTGAATCGAGGCCTCCTGACTCCATCATGCTCTCGCATTTAAAAGTAAAGACAGTCCATCCCGGGTGCTTTCCCTCCTAGCACCCCTGTGAGGTAGGGAGTTTCTGTACTTTACAGAAAGGGAAAGTGAGGCCACTTTCCCCACTCCACCAGTGGGTTTCCTTCAGAGCTTCCAAGGAAGCCTGGAGGACGTGCTCTGCCAGGATCCCACGTGCCAGACTCACCCTGTCTTCCTGTGGTTTGGGGCAGATTCTCCAGGGCAGCTCTGTGGATCGGGACCACCTCATTCATGATCCTCGTTCTTCCGGTCGTCTTTGAAACGGAGAAGCTTCAGATGGAACAGCAGCAGCAGCTACAGCAGCGGCAGGTGAGGGGCTGGGGGCAGAGTTAGCTCAGACAGCTGCTGGGTCACACTCGAGGCTGGGTTGGGCCCTTCTTCCCTCGAATGAACCTTGATTCGCACACCTGAGTATGTAAGTGTGTGGACGGACGCGAGTCCAAGAGCTCGCAGGGCCTCACTGAGGCAGGGATCCCCAGCCAACGAGTCCTCCCAGTGACCGAGTCCGTGTTGGACGAGCCTCGCTGTCTGTCAGGTGAAGAGGGCTGGATGAGGTGATCTCAGAGGTCCTTTGCTGGTTGGTCACCCCTGTGGGGGGATGTGGATGGCTCTCTGCTTCCTTGTGACGCCCTCCTTTCTCTTACAGATACTCCTTGGTCCTAATACGGGGCTGTCTGGAGGGATGCCAGGGGCCCTACCTCCACTTCCTGGAAAGATTTAGAGGAAATCAGCTGCATCTGACTGTGCTTGAGGGGAAAAGTTTCAAATTCAACTGTTTGCAAACTGTTGATTATTTGAAATGTTTTTGTTTTTTCTGGGTTTTTTGGGGCATGTTGAACCATCTGAACACTATGGGCAGAATCCTCCCCACCCCCTCTCTAGAGGTGTGTGTCTTTCAGCTCTGCCATCCACACTGGCATGAGGTTTTTTTCTTCAGTGCTCCTCCTCTGATACGAGTGAGTGCAAGGATGCAGTGACCCCAGCTCTGGCCTCCCATCCCCATTGCTCAGCTGCCTTCAATAAGAGATCCCTTGCCTTCTCCTGGGGGAACGGAAGGCAGCCAGGAGTGTGCTCCTGACCATTCATTGAGAACTGTTGGGGGAGAAACTCGAATCAGACCCAGTGCATCAAGTGTGGGGTTGACAAGAGTCACTGTGAATCTGTGTGTTCTCGAGGCCAGGGGGGCAGAGGTCAGGATGAAGGAATTATGGCTTCCTCCTGGCGTGCTGGCTGTTTTTGTTTGCCCGGTAAAGCAGTGTGTGTATGAGAAAATCAGCGCTGATGTTTTGTATTAAATAATAAAAATGATTCCAACTCCGGGTCTTGGCCACATGGCTTGTTCATCTCCCTCCTTGGGGTAGTGACTGTCCCCACTGGCTCCTGTGGATTAGATTTTACTTAAGCTGCCAGTAGTATGACCACCCAGTGCTGCCAAGCAAGGTGATGTCAGGGCGAGTCCTCTGTTCCATGTTTTCCTTCGTTAGCTAAGAATCTCACCCAGACAGTGGCTTGTATTCACCTTGCATTGGGTGGGCGCTAGCCGGAGGCCCATCTACAGCCCTCCAGGGACTGCTGTCAGAGAAATGGAGAAGGCTCCAGAGCTTGCCCACAGCCTTATAAAAAAAGCCATTTGCAGAGGGTGAATAACCAATTAAGTTGATCAAATATTGGTTTTATTTTGTATATGGACTTGGGTGGGGTGGGGTGGGGCGAGGGGGGGAGGATGGAGGCCAGTTCTGGCACCACTTAAAAAGCTTCGAATAACATAATCTACCTTCCAAGGATTGGTCCAGCAAAGGATGGAGAGGCTCGTCTCCAGGACCTTGGCTACTAAGTCTCTTTCTTTTTAGCCCTAGCAACCTGAAAGGCCTCCATGGCTTGGGGTGGCAAAATGGAGACAGGATTCACCCCCAAGAAATCAGATTCACAGAGAGCTTCTAGGGTGGTGTAGGAGGTCTGATTCCTGCCCTACAAAGACTTACGTCCTTGGGGATATTCACCATTACCAAGGCCTACATCACAATAGATTTGTTTCTGAAAAATCTGTTTCCATTTCCAATATATGATGGGAATTCACTATTGGAAAGGATTCAGTTTCTTCTTAGTAAATTTGTATGAACTGGGACCATTGGATTTAAGCCTGGAAAGGATCATAGGAGTCATGTGGTTTCCCTTTATTTTACAGATAAGGAAACCGAGGTCCACATGGGTTAGGTGACTTGTCCAAGGTCACACCAGAGAAGAAGAAGAGGCAGATTTGGGCCCAAGCCTATAAAGCAGGGTGCGGCCTTGGGCTCTCTGGCCACAAGTGAGCTAACTTGACCCAAAATGGGCAATAAGAAAAATTTATGCTAACCCCTGAGAAGTAAACCCCTTTATAGGAAATCAACAACACAATAAAGAAAAGGGTTTATTTATTTTTTCCTTTTACATACGTAATTACAGAACTCAGGCAGACAGACAAGTAATGGGATTTATATGTGGAGAGTTTTCCTTTTTTTTTTTCTTAATATTTGGTTAAACAAAATACATCCTCTGTAAACAAACCCAGCACAAGGCCAACAAAAGGGAGGAAGGGAAGCAAGAAAAATAAACAGCCTAGGCTTGCCCAGTGATGGGCAATAGGGCCGGGGGACCCCCTTCCTTGTAGGGATAGGGGTCTCCGTGCCCTTGGGCATCAGCATGGGTCCCTGTTCCTGAGCACCAGAGTTGGATATGAACAGAGAAAACCAGCCCTGAAATGTTTGTAAAGCGTCTTTGCATATTCCATTGGCATGAGGCCTCTTGTGCCATTTGCATGGATCTAAGCAGGTTCCTCCCCAGGAAATGGCTTGCTGTCGTGGACAGAGCTCCTCCTATAGGCCCACCAAAGTTGGCTGCATCTTCTGGCTGGTGGTGGTAAATGGAATGTCATCTTGCAGGGGTAAAGAGCTCCTCGAGGGGCCAAGCAGCAAGTCTAGTGTGGAAAACGGTGCAGGAGACGTGACCAGGTGCTGGGAGGGTGTGATGCGGGAACTGCTTTCTGGCCGCCATCATTCAGCATAAAAAAATGGCCCTGTTGGATTGTAGGTAAGTGTGCAGAAGAGTGCTGGTGTAAACATGCGTTCCAGTCACAGGTGGGAGAAAGCTACTGATGGCTCAGGCCAGCGAGGCCTGCTCAGGCTTGTCCTATGGTCCTAGTTCTGCTGCTGGAGAGAAGTCTGCCCAGCATGCTGCTCAGCCTTCAGCACCGTCATCAATGACAGGCAAACAGGCTGCTCCCGTGCCTTTATTTCTAAGGTAGCCACCACTGTGCTCAGATGACCAGGTCGGGGAGCCGAATCACCATCACCTGCCTTCTGCCCTTTCATATTCCAGAATTAGAAGAGAAAAGTAGCTGTCAGCTGACAGACAAAGGTCATTCCTGAGCTAACTTGTCAAAGGCCACGTCCCACAAAGCTCGTGCCACCCGATTGGAGGGCTCTGGCTCTTGGAGCTACCCCCATTCCCAGTCCTTCTGCTGGCTGCCAACGCTTTCCGTGTCATTCCAGTCCTCAACTACTAGAATCCCTGTATAAAAGAATGTTTTCAGCTCATTCTCTTGAGACACTTGGGGGTAAAGTTGAAGACGTCCACTTCCCCTCCTACTACAACGTCCTCCCCCTGACTTCCACCCAATGTAGTGAAATGGTGGGGACTTCATATAACAAGCCACTGAAGGCCAGGCCACATCCTCACTTAGTGTATGTGTAGCTACCCCACCCTTGCCCCTCCTAAACATGGCAGAATTCAACTAATGCCCAATTTAAAGAAATTTTCCTTTTGAAAAATACTCAGGATGGCCCCTTTCTTTAGAGACATACGCACAGTTGAGGTGGGGCTGAGGGTTGGAGTCATTCAGCTTGCTGTACCATTGCTAAGTAAGGTTATGAAGATGATTTCCTGAGAGACCCCTATGCTTGTGGCCCGCCAAGCCAGTCATCTGGGCTTCACGAGTCTCTTCGGACCCAAAAGTTTGACAGGAAAGGGAAAGTGGAGGCAGCGTCTCCAAATTGGGGGCAGCGGGTGGTTAACTCCAGCCAGGGTTGTGTCAGGTCCAATGTGTGACCTCTCTAAGGAAGGAGAGAGTCAACGCTGGGACCATCCTTTCTCCTCCTCTGCTCTAAGAGCAAGCCCTGGGGAACGTGGACCACATCCTCACTCCCTTCCTCTCCAGGAACAAGTGTTCGTCCTCCCCGCTGACCTACTGCATCGTCAAGTCTGGGAAGGACAAACTGAACAAGATGTGGGGCAGGGGAGAGAGAGACCTGTGGTGACAGAGGCCACCAGACAGGGAGAGGGGAAGAAAGGCAGAGCTGGATTAGACGTCTGCCCTCCAGCTCTGGCGGGCCTCCACCTCTTCTGGGACCACAAGAAGCAGCTCACAGTTCTTTCCTCGCAGCTGATGTTTCAAAAATTTCCTGTGGGAAGAAGGCAAACTAATGAGAGAGAAGAGGAAGGCTGCAGATGGCCAACGTCAGCCTCAGGGCGGTCCATTCCCTAAAACTGGGGGAGCCCTAAATGCTCTGCCTGTGGGGAGGTCAGCATCTGGCTAGCCTCATGCTTGTCTGCAACAGCAGGAGTCCCATTTGTCACAGGGAAATTCACGCCCAACGTTAATGCATCACAACCAATAGCAACACGGGCCACTTTCTGTAGGGGGAGATTGTGAGCCTCTAAAATCTCTAATGTTACTTCTACGGCCTTACGGAAAGTCGAGGGGGAAATGGAGCAAAGAGGGACACGGGAGCTTTTCCCCAGCCCTTCCTGGGTCATGCCCCCAAAGCAGAAGGCCTACCTGAGCTCACTCTCGCCTCCAATCCACTCAGGCACCTTGAGCTTGGAGTCAAGGTTGTAGTAGGTGCCCCCCACCTCTCGAACACAGATCCAGTGCTGCCTTTTGAGCGGAAGCTTCAGCGGGCCCCAGCAGAGGCTGGAGGGGAGATTCATGATGAAGCCCATGACGTTAGAGAGGGCAATGACACTGACGTCCCTGAGGAAAGAGAAACGAAGCAAGGCTGTGAAACAGGCTGCTCCCCAAGGCCACTGCACCACAAATCATCCGCCTCCCACTCATGCCATCAACTCCAAGGCTGAAGAGTGACCTTGCTGGGAACTCTGGCTTCCACCACAATGTACAGAGTCAGCCTCCAGCCCACCAGATCCGGGTTCGGTTACCTTCGCTTGTCCCACCAAACCGCTTCGTAGCCTTTGGTCTGAAGGGCCGCCATGATGACATTCACATCGTAGTTCCCATTTCCCAGCATGCTCTTCTTGTGCGGCGTCACCATGGTATTTGGAGACAGCCTGCAAACATGGAGGGAGATGGGCTCACTTGGGATCTGGAAGGGCTTCTGTGCCCATCCCAGGTGTGCCCAGGGGGTACTTAACTCATTTATCTAGTGCTGAAGCTTGACAGAGTGCTTTGCTCCCAACCACTCTGTGATCCACCGGTAGAGCAGGGGTTCCCGGTTCACAGATAAACAAATTGAAGGGAGAGCTGGGGAGTGGCGAAGCCTGAACTCAAACTCGTGCCTATCTGACGGCCAATCTAGCGACCTTGCCACACTTCGTGGCCTCTTGCCCAATGCTACCCTGGACGTTAAGAGGATGTTCCATCTTACTCAACCTACAGTTGTTTCCTGACTATTACTTTTTATAATTGTACCTGTCTACTTCAAAGTGCAGTTTAACTAAATCCCAGAAAGTATTCAGTTGTCTTGGTGTAGGTGTCCTTGAGATGGCCTCCCTCTTTTTAAGTGTCACAGTCAGGAAATTCTACTTACAGGAGATGGGGCAGATTTTCGCAGGAGGACCCACATTTATGGAATTCTCCACCCCACTCCCATAGCCCACGCATTACAAGGGACAAGACTCATTGCTGAGGTCAGAGGAGCCCCTCAGAGTGGGTGTTTTCATCACTGCTCTTGAGGTTCCATACAGTTTAATCGTTTGGGTTTCCTTGTGACATTTGGCTCCACTTCTGAGGCAAGCAGTTTTCTTATAATGAAGATTGCTGGGAACCCTGGATTTTAGAAGGCCAGGCCAGAGAAGTATGAGGTCAGGTAGGCTGAAAAGGGTTGAGGTATGGGCCCGACATAACATGACTGGCCTTGCTTAGGTTAGAAAGGCTCCTTACCAGAAAAGCTGGTCACTAACAGATGAATTTTTTAGACCACAGAAGGCTATTAAGTGTTTACTCAGGTATACATGTGGTCTGCCTTATACCTACAAACTAGTGAAATCATGGGGTCCTCAAGTATATACGCATTCAGGTGACAATCAAAATTATCAATGTATCA